CTAGATTTGTAGCTTTTTCTTAAACCAAACTTGAATTGTCGTAAAAGTGCCGAAAACCGTTTCTATTTGCTATACTCAGTGCTGTCACCCCTTATACGAAATGATATCTCCCGAAGAGTGACGTAATCAGCTTCCATATTGGTATTTTTCTGTGTCGAAGATTTGTGGGAGTTCAATTTTTCAAGGGTGAACGTTTTTATTCGTTGGGATAATTAGTTGTGCAATGGATTTTATTTAACGGGAGTTGATTTCAAACACACAGGTAAGTTTATAATAACCAAAGTTAAGTAGTTTGTTCATAATCGAAGAAATACTTTTAAAATTTACGATGGTTTAGACAGTAGTAATGTGGATATTATACCGTCTACACAATCCAGAATTTGACTTTCAGACAAGTTCTTGATGGTAAGATGAAGAAATTAAGTTAACATGCCTGGCAAAGTTCGTCGTCTGAATCGTTTGACAACATTATACAATTGATTAAAAGAAAGATTTTATGTCCCTTTTCATTACAGCGTCCGTAAACCTGTTGTGCGTAATCAGAGGGAATATCTGATATCGTCCTTATGCTATGGACAGACGACCGTATTTTTCCGCCCGATCGCGGCGATTGAAATTCGTCAGCGATTTTTTTTACGGTCGGTAACGAACGGGCACACGTAGCGATCGTCTCAAGAGCGGACGCCACTCTGTGAGTAATTATGTCGATCCCATAACTTGTCCATCACGTGACTTGAACAAAATGGCAGCAATTTTGAGATCATGTGATATCAACGATCTCGATGATTGGCTTATAAAAATGAATCGCCCGACAATATACGCTGGACACGAGCACACGAGCGAATTTAATCGCCGGCGAAAAATTAAAGCATGTTTCTTCAGACAGGTCTCTTCTTTTCCTATCTGAAATCTTATTTTCTAACTCTCGTAACTTCTCTTTCACTTCTTTTAATTCTTCTTTCAAACTTGCTATCATTTTATGCAGTTCAGAACTCTCAGATTCTGCCTTCTTTCCAGACTTGGGTTTTGCATTAGCTACATGAGTGGAGCGTACATCGGGATCTGAATGTTTGATGGCCTCTAACTCCATAGCATGGTGTAGTGCGGCATTCAAATCTCGGGGACGTGCTTGGCTTACAAGCATTCTCATCTGGCTATCTCCAAAATACTGGATAAAATGGTCTTTAGCCATCTCTTCTTTCGTTATTTCACTACTTCTGGGATAAGCAGAATACACCAGGCGGTGGACAGCTTGAGCAAACTCCGACAAACTTTCATTGTTCCTTCTTCGTCGTTCTCGTAACTGTACCTTGTGCATCTCTGCTAACTCCGGAGGATCAAATTTCTGCTTTAAAGCTTCTACCAAACAATGGTAGTTAAGAACATCAGTTGGTTTCAACGTACCAAATATATCACTTGCCTTACCTGTAAGACTAATCGCCAAAAATCTCGCTTTATCACCTTCACTCCATGAGTTGATCTCTGCAGTGACTTCAAATTGAACCAAATAATCATTCAATCGTGTTTCACCATTATACTTAGGAGGCATCGCGATAGGCTTAGCCAACCTTTGTAATGGTCTAGCATCGGCTGTCTGAGCTCTGTCAAATCCAAACATTTGACTGTCTGCTTTTCTGGCCCTTCTGCTAGATTCTGGAGAACAGCGACTGGAACCACTGGCTAAGGTTGAGATATTAGACACAGGTCCATACATATTATCTCTCTGTCGTTGAGTATCTACTGGCGTAGACGTCCTTGTTCTAACAGGATTCGAATCTCTGTAATAATCTGCAGTTCTCTCCAAACCTGACGTAGATGAACTGAAACGAACACTGGATTGCCTTTGATTCTGACATCGAACAGGAGATCTGCTCATGTCAGAAAATAAAGATGGTGAATTAACAGGAACTGTCGATCTCTGACTCATGAATGATGGAGGAACAGCATCAACCCTTGTTTGGGATAACATCCTCCCAAGCGTTGCAATGTCGCTGTTATACGAATCCGTAAGTTCTGCAATAGCAGCCTCCAACTCTCCAAGACTCAAGTTATCAAGTCTATTCATGTTGACAATTGATGACATCCACAGCGATAAAACATAACTCCACAAACATCAACTTCTTCCGAATTCTTCACAAAACTATCCCACTCCAGCCACCAATTAAACTTTAGTGTTACCCGCACACTGTTAGTCTAATAAATTAATCGACACTGAAACAACAGGAACTTATAAAGGTTTTAATAAAAATTAGAAACATATATGATACATATAATTTTCGGTTGGGGATAGCAAGGTCAAATTCGGGTATCCGAAATTACGTGACTTCGGGACGATTTGTGGTCGTCTCTAACTATGTAATATTAATAATTACTTACAAAACACTTCTAACATAACACTTTCTACTACCAGACATAAAGACTAAAACTAAAACACTGTGTTCAAACGCTGTCAAAACACTTCCTCGAGCCAGGATATTACTATCCAGTCTAGAAGACAAAAGGCTAATGCATGGAGGCAATGAGACTCAACTTATTCATCCACCTAGTAATAAAAGGTGGGGTGAAATCCTAAACTAACAGACACAAAATAAATAAAAGAACCCATGCCTCAACTAAACCAACATGACACACGGCTTACAACATGCATAAATAATAATTTGAAAGGATAAAATATACTAAATAAGACTTAAATTAAACATGCCTACTAATTAATAAATTCTTGATATACAAGAAGCTAATATTATCTCCCTTGGACAAGTCGGCATGGAATCTAAAATCCAGACACGGGTACTATCCAAAAAATATGCAGAACTTTTGACACAAAGTAGGCACCACAAAACTAAGGATAGACACGGATAGCTAGATAATTTATCTACCAGATACATATAAGTCCCCATCAAAAATGTTTACTTACAAAATCTGCCCACTAAATATTATAACAAACTAAGTGAAAATACATATAAATACATAGTAAAGTTCTTGCTTGAAAATACAGTCGGCAGACACAATTAACAATAATAAAAACATAGGCAGCATGCTCAATTAGAAATATATACTCTTACACAATATAAAAATATCAAAATATTAAACAGGCGATGACTGTGCCGAGAAAACCATAGATTTTACTAGAGTAGCGATAGGTACCAAAACTTACACCCATAGTCTAAATATAGAACTACGGAGCGCTTTTCCGGAAAACGAAATACAAATAATTAAGATAGCTACGGCTACCGGTTACACTACCCACGACTCCGAAAATCGATCGTCCTCGATCGAAATAGTAAACATAATGAACAAATTAAACATTTCAAAACACTGATAACTGGAATAAACTTATAAAGTTCAAAATGTCAAATCATTAAATCACAGTTCGAGTCACTTTTACTCCAACACGCGACATATTGTCCAAATTACAGCTCGCAAACGCGATGTTTTCGCGAAATCAGTTCACACTGATGATCTATAAAATCACAGTTTAAAGAATTAACACAGTCATTAGAGTTGAAAATCACTGATTTGTTCTCGCGATATATATATTCATCACAACACAAATACAAATAACGTATACCGTCAACACACTTTTATATCACTATGAACCACGATCAGTTCAACACGATAATTGTCGATTAAACTCGCAAACATTACTTAAAGTTCACTTTTCGTTATCTCTTTTCTTCTAATTTTTCCAAGGGCGGTGGGGGAGCTTCATCGACGGGCCAATACAAACATTGTAGCGTTGTCCTGAAACCCTTCAGTTTCCCGTTACCATCAAAGTCTGCAACTTCCTGTCCACATCTAGGTACAAGTCGGTAAAGGCGTTCTTTTCCACCAGCCTCTGTTGTTTTGTGTATGGATTCTTTAATTGTAAATCCCAATGGCTCATCTGAGTTAGACATAGCAATGGGCCATAAGGGTGGGGGGATGTTGATACATCGGAAGTTTTAGGCCTTGCATCAGATTTCATAGGTGAATTATCCTTCCTGGGACTCAAAGATATTGTAGGCAGTTTCTTTGGACTTAACGAAACTGCAACAGATTCTTTAGGGCTAAAAGACATATCAACAGGTACTTCAAGATCAACAGTCTTCTCTTCGTTCGACAAAGTCGATTCGGGCTGCTGAGAAATTTGACAAACAAAACGTTTGGTAGCCTCCCAATCCACAACACTAGCTGGACTAGAACCAACAGAATTACTTGTTACTGTTGCTACCGGAACAGTCTTCAGTGTAGATTTTGAAGTATTACCTTTAGCCTTTGCAACTTCATCCATGACAAGCTTAGCATATATATCATCTGTATTGTCGTTCTTCGGCAAATGTGTAGCTAGATGTCTTCTCCAGAAATATTTTGAGCGAAACCTCCCTTTACAATCAACAAAATGACAATGATAATTGTAAGACAAAACACCTGGAGGTAATTTAGATGATTGGCAAATCGGTGGATGACTCCCAGTTTCTATACAAGGAGACATAAGTTCCGTTCTACCAACGTCATCACTATCAACCGCAAAAGCCTTTATATGCCTGGACAAAGTAGTCGCTGTAATATTATACTGCTGACTTGTTAGGCTTTCCTTACAAGATTTAAGCAAAGTATCAATCAAAGAACCACGAACCAAATCATCCTTTTCGGTACCCGATTCGGGGATAACACGACATACACCAATTCCACCCTTAGTCTGACATGGGATCACCTGACCACCAACATAAATCTCTGACAAAGGAACATTAATTATAACATTTTCCTCTTTTGCAAAATCTAGACCAAGAATAGCCTTTGTTGGCATGGTCACAACTGCAAATGGGAAAACAAAACTCTTATCGGTAACTTCGATCTTAAGAGATGCACGACCCTTAACGTTTAAAGGCGAGCCATCAGCCTGTAACAGCTTACAATTAACCGGACGCAACTCGGTTTTCTCTTCAAACGAATCATAAAAATCTTCTGAAATCATCGACAGGCTAGCACCTGTATCAACTAAAAATTCTGTGTCCAGCCCCTCTACGTTGCCTTCAACAAAAATACCGGAACTGGAAGGGTTCACAACACCAACAGTTCTGTCTAAGCTAGAATGATGTGACTTTGAAGGTGCTGGCATGGGAACTGGTACAGCAGGTGTATCTCTGATTAGTCTGCTGAAATGGTACCCTCCCATCTCGCCAAGAGCCAACAGGGGGACTCTTGCGAGGTGAGGGACATGTCGTAGAATAATGCCCTAACTCTAGACAATTAAAGCATGTTTCTTCAGACAGGTCTCTTCTTTTCCTATCTGAAATCTTATTTTCTAACTCTCGTAACTTCTCTTTCACTTCTTTTAATTCTTCTTTCAAACTTGCTATCATTTTATGCAGTTCAGAACTCTCAGATTCTGCCTTCTTTCCAGACTTGGGTTTTGCATTAGCTACATGAGTGGAGCGTACATCGGGATCTGAATGTTTGATGGCCTCTAACTCCATAGCATGGTGTAGTGCGGCATTCAAATCTCGGGGACGTGCTTGGCTTACAAGCATTCTCATCTGGCTATCTCCAAAATACTGGATAAAATGGTCTTTAGCCATCTCTTCTTTCGTTATTTCACTACTTCTGGGATAAGCAGAATACACCAGGCGGTGGACAGCTTGAGCAAACTCCGACAAACTTTCATTGTTCCTTCTTCGTCGTTCTCGTAACTGTACCTTGTGCATCTCTGCTAACTCCGGAGGATCAAATTTCTGCTTTAAAGCTTCTACCAAACAATGGTAGTTAAGAACATCAGTTGGTTTCAACGTACCAAATATATCACTTGCCTTACCTGTAAGACTAATCGCCAAAAATCTCGCTTTATCACCTTCACTCCATGAGTTGATCTCTGCAGTGACTTCAAATTGAACCAAATAATCATTCAATCGTGTTTCACCATTATACTTAGGAGGCATCGCGATAGGCTTAGCCAACCTTTGTAATGGTCTAGCATCGGCTGTCTGAGCTCTGTCAAATCCAAACATTTGACTGTCTGCTTTTCTGGCCCTTCTGCTAGATTCTGGAGAACAGCGACTGGAACCACTGGCTAAGGTTGAGATATTAGACACAGGTCCATACATATTATCTCTCTGTCGTTGAGTATCTACTGGCGTAGACGTCCTTGTTCTAACAGGATTCGAATCTCTGTAATAATCTGCAGTTCTCTCCAAACCTGACGTAGATGAACTGAAACGAACACTGGATTGCCTTTGATTCTGACATCGAACAGGAGATCTGCTCATGTCAGAAAATAAAGATGGTGAATTAACAGGAACTGTCGATCTCTGACTCATGAATGATGGAGGAACAGCATCAACCCTTGTTTGGGATAACATCCTCCCAAGCGTTGCAATGTCGCTGTTATACGAATCCGTAAGTTCTGCAATAGCAGCCTCCAACTCTCCAAGACTCAAGTTATCAAGTCTATTCATGTTGACAATTGATGACATCCACAGCGATAAAACATAACTCCACAAACATCAACTTCTTCCGAATTCTTCACAAAACTATCCCACTCCAGCCACCAATTAAACTTTAGTGTTACCCGCACACTGTTAGTCTAATAAATTAATCGACACTGAAACAACAGGAACTTATAAAGGTTTTAATAAAAATTAGAAACATATATGATACATATAATTTTCGGTTGGGGATAGCAAGGTCAAATTCGGGTATCCGAAATTACGTGACTTCGGGACGATTTGTGGTCGTCTCTAACTATGTAATATTAATAATTACTTACAAAACACTTCTAAAAAAACACTTTCTACTACCAGACATAAAGACTAAAACTAAAACACTGTGTTCAACCGCTGTCAAAACACTTCCTCGAGCCAGGATATTACTATCCAGTCTAGAAGACAAAAGGCTAATGCATGGAGGCAATGAGACTCAACTTATTCATCCACCTAGTAATAAAAGGTGGGGTGAAATCCTAAACTAACAGACACAAAATAAATAAAAGAACCCATGCCTCAACTAAACCAACATGACACACGGCTTACAACATGCATAAATAATAATTTGAAAGGATAAAATATACTAAATAAGACTTAAATTAAACATGCCTACTAATTAATAAATTCTTGATATACAAGAAGCTAATATTATCTCCCTTGGACAAGTCGGCATGGAATCTAAAATCCAGACACGGGTACTATCCAAAAAATATGCAGAACTTTTGACACAAAGTAGGCACCACAAAACTAAGGATAGGCACGGATAGCTAGATAATTTATCTACCAGATACATATAAGTCCCCATCAAAAATGTTTACTTACAAAATCTGCCCACTAAATATTATAACAAACTAAGTGAAAATACATATAAATACATAGTAAAGTTCTTGCTTGAAAATACAGTCGGCAGACACAATTAACAATAATAAAAACATAGGCAGCATGCTCAATTAGAAATATATACTCTTACACAATATGAAAATATCAAAATATTAAACAGGCGATGACTGTGCCGAGAAAACCATAGATTTTACTAGAGTAGCGATAGGTACCAAAACTTACACCCATAGTCTAAATATAGAACTACGGAGCGCTTTTCCGGAAAACGAAATACAAATAATTAAGATAGCTACGGCTACCGGTTACAATGGCTGCCATTTTGTACAAGTCACGTGATCGACAAGTCACGTGATCGACATATTACTCACAGAGTGGCGCACGCTCTTGAGACGATCGCTACGTGTGCCCGTTCGTTATTGGCCGTAAAAAAATCTCTGGCGAATTTCCACCGCCGCGATCGGGCGGAAAAATACGCTCGTCTGTCCATAGCATTAGGGTCGATATGATATCACACTCTGATGACGTCATAACAGGTTGATGCTTTTCATAACATGCATGGGAGATCACAGGAAATAACATCTCAAGGTGTGTAAAGATAGATATTTTATTACATAAAACACATTTCGAGCAGCATGTAAATTATACATTGTCAATGAAAAATACATTAAAAGTGGATGAAAAATACATAACAAGCAGTTGCCATGCAAGGTATGCCCACATTTTGCAATGGAAGGATAGGATAGCTAAAAAGGCTATTTTTCGTTCAATCAGGGATCATCCAGGAAAATAATGAACGGAACCGAGATCTTCGGGATGTAAACCCATGTTTCAATCGAGTTTCGTCAAAATCGGATACAAATTGTGACCTGTTGAGTGTCCACAAACATATGAAAGGAAGGTAGTCTTGATGTTCAGGGTCCACGACAATAAAAATTATGCAAAATATTATCAGTATCTCTCAAAAGATTTAAAATAGATGAGAATACTACACTGAGGTAAATTAGAACTACAAGTCAGTTAATGATACATTATTGGAGATTAGATAAAGAGCTGGCAGTTCTCGCTATAATAGTTAAAACCTAGATAATGTAAAGGGAATTTGCTGAAAATTTCTGTCAAAGCGATCTACCCTAAAGCGATTGAATTTTGGGCCTGCCGCGATCATCATTATTAGAGTCGGTAAGATGAAAAACATAGTCTCGATTATCCATTTTTTGATTTAATCAGTAGCAGCAGACAGGGTTCTAATCCAGTAAATATTGCAGGTTAGCGATGCCATCGCGTGTTGATTATGGTCAGGATAAGTTAATTATGTCTAATTAATAATTTAGATAACATTTCAGGCCTAAAGAAAGACCGGCAATTGGCAGATTTAGCTCTTGCATAATGTATGTTTAATATGTGTAACACACCCAGTGGTAGTGAACAATCACGATTTTATATTGTAAAAACAGTAGTATAGTTTAAATGTAAATAAGAACATAAAAAAAGGTAATACAATTATAAAAATAAAACGTAAATATATGTATCCATGTACAAGTAAATTGTAAACTTTAATATTATATATATTTGTGAGTATAAAAGTAAAATTGATATTTATCGCATGAGTATTGTTTTAATATTAATGCTGCTTTATTATCATGAATTTGTAGGGAGAAGAGCTTTGTACGTGAATTCACTTGTCTCTCATCCCTTCGATGATTTATGATCAATGAAATTTGATTAGTAAACAGATAAAAATAATCATGCAAAGATACAGAGAGGATACGGTTGAAGTTTCATGTACAACCATTTAACTCCATCGTGGGATACAGGGGGGTTGGATGGCCGAATGGTTAGGACGTGCGTGCTGTATCATAAAGCCTGTCATTGGGTTAACTGGCGTGGTTTCGAATCCCCGGTTGTATGTGACAAGGAGTAGGGTCGCCTGCCGAACCTCGTGCGTTTTCTCCGGGTCCTCCGGTTTCCTCCCACTGCTAAAGACCTCTACGCGCAAGCGAATTATTGAAATAAAATTAAACCATGTTAGTCCCGAAATGAACTAGTTTGTGTCGAGTGGACGTTAAACCCCATTTTTTTTCTCTCTCTCTCACTTCGGGATACAAAGCAAATGGGCAGACTGATCACTATGATTTTGCACGAGAAGCCAGATCCCGTGGGGGCACGACCCAATATTTATCTCTCCCACTGCCGCCAAGACATCTTGGGTCGATTTGTAGCATTTGGGAAACAGGATATATGTTTGACGCTGGTTAAGTATTATGATAGGGTGTTGAAACCACGTGCTTTTTTTCCATCCGAACAACTAGACAGCTGCCCCACTGACAAGATGAAACCAAGCCAGAAAATTCAGAGGAACTCTCTCGGCCAACGCCACAGGACCAAACCAGAGAACTATAACGGAGAACTCCAGACTATAACAGAGAACTCCAGACTATAGAGGAACCAGTGTGTCTTAATCACTGAAAACATATATAAGGACACATATGAAAATGTTACCACGTAACACTAGTATGAGATTTTGTTGGGCGTTATATAAAAATAATAACTTCTACATATGAAACAGTCTTAACATCTGCCTAGCCACATAGTGTACATGTTGTTGAATTAATTTGGTCATAGATAACATAAATAAAACACAGCCAGTCAGGTGTCCTGACCTTGAAAGTTGAAGCGCTAAAAGGTTGTAAAATATATAGAGAGTTTCGCCGTCCAGAAAATACACAAAAACTCTTGCACTGTTGGTGGTACGGATTTGCACAAAAAAACCAAAACAAACCCAGAGCGTCAAAGCACAAAGCCAACGTTTGATATTTCGGACTGCTCTCAGTAGACAATTGTAAACTCGTACACTATAGTACAAATTGATTGACATCTATCATATCAATTACGATTTTATCATAGACTAAATGTTATTCAATTTCTTGATTGACATCTATCATATCAATTACGATGTTATCAACATCTGAAACCTCACCCAACTCTACATCAGGTACAAGAATTGATAAGAGTCTATATATATTTGTTTGTAAACCTTGTAGTCTCGTTTCTGTACTTTCTAAATTGTGTTTTTCATCTCCGAGATTTTTTTCAACATTGTGTAGCTTATTCTGTGTAGTTTGCAATGTGGTCTGGTTGTTGCGCAGCAACGTTTGCGTTTCTTCAAGATTCTTCTCTGAAAGTTTTAATCGCGATTCTTTGTCTTTTAACAATGTTTGTGTAGTTTGCAATGCGGTCTGGTTGTCGCGCACCATCGTTTGTGTTTGTTCAAGCTTCTTCTCTGAGAGATTTAATCGTGATTCTTTGTCTTTCAACGATGTCTGTGTAATTTGCAATGTGGTCTGCTTGTCGCGCAGCAACGCTTGCGTTTGTTCAAGCTTCTTCTCTGAGAGTTTTAATTGCGATTCTTTGTCTTGTAGCGATGTCTGTGTAGTTTGCAATGCGGTCTGGTTGTTGCGCAGCATCATTTGTGTTTGTTCAAGCTTCTTCTCTGAGAGTTTTAATTGCGATTCTTTGTCTTGTAGCGATGTCTGTGTAATTTGCAATGTGGTCTGGTTGTCGCGCAGCAACGTTTGTGTTTGTTCAAGCTTCTTCTCTGAGAGTTTTAATTGCGATTCTTTGTCTTGTAACGATTTCTGTGTAGTTAGCAATGTGGTCTGGTTGTCGCGCAGCATCGTTTGTGTTTGTTCAAGCTGCTTCTCTGATATTTTTAATCTCTTGACTTTGTCTTGTAGCGATGTCTGTGTAGTTTGCAATGTGGTCTGCTTGTCGCGCAGCAACGCTTGCGTTTGTTCAAGCTCCTTCTCTGAGAGTTTTAATTGCGATTCTTTGTCTTGTAGCGATGTCTGTGTCGTTTTTAGTGTGGTTTGGATGTGGCCGAGATGCTTCTCGGAATATTCAAACTTTTTCTGTGCATCTGCAAATTCCAGCTCACGGTTCTTTGCTATTGTTTCTGACATTCTTAATGAGTCTTCGGCAGTTTGAAGTTTCGTCTCTGAATATTTCATTTTATTTTCAAAGCTTTTTAGGCTTAGCTCTTGTTGCACTAACTTCTGCTCGGAATCTTCTAATTTTTTGTTTGTATTTTCTAGCGTAATATAGGTGTCTTTAAGCTTTGCTTCTGTTCTTTGTAACTCGGTCTTCAATCTAAGCACTTCGGCAGAAAGGGACGGAGCGTTTCCTTTCTTATTAGGTGTGCTAGAACAGCCTTCAAGTGCCTCGTCAATTTCCGCTAAGACTTTATCGGTGCTATTCGGTTCGTTCTTACTCTTACATATACGTTTACTTATTATCTCCGTGCTAATCTCTCCGACCTTTCTTTTATTGGCTTCCGAATGCCTGTAACAAAAAAACCAAAACATTTTCGTTTTATTACCCAGTATAGAAATGTTTTGTATGGCTTATGATAGAAATAGAATGAAATGTACTTTTCCTACTTCGCTAATGAAGACTGGCATACGCCATGTCCGGACAGCGGAGCTATGGCCTACTCTTATTTCGAATTCCAACTGTTAAGAAGGCTTCTTTTTCGTGCACACCCAGTTGCGTACAAAAAGATTTTGTTTGGTTTTTGTTTTTTGGGGTTTTTTTTTGGGGGGGGGGGGGGTAACAAAAATGCAACGGATTGATGCACATGCCCCAAATACGAGTGACGCAGTCAGGGACCGAGCACCACAGGTGATAGTTTTCTAGGGGCCAGTAGCCTATCTAGAAGCTGGGAATAGGGGGTGAGGGTTGGACGGTTTCAAATCTATAATAGGGCGCCATCCACAATCACACCCCACAATTAATGTCAACAAAATACTGGCTATAACATTGAGTGTCCCGGTCGGACATAGATCATATAGCCCATATAGATGTTCGCGGATCGTTATCTCGCCGGAAAGCAGTTTTATTTAAGTTGACATAAAGTTCATGTCATATAATATGATGAGTGTTACTGATTTTGTTATTAAATTTATGTGAACCTTTGTGGCAGTGGCTATAACACTGAGCAACCTGAGAACATTTTGAAAAATTGAATCAATATCCTGACATTTGAGGTCATTGCTGGGAGCAAATTCTTGTGAACAAGATAACCAAAAATAGGAGTTAATGGCACAGAATCTTGAAATCTGCCCCTGTCCATTCTGCCTGTTTTGCAAGAGTTGACAGTACATTTGTACAGTCTGACGCCCCGCGACCTACACACCAGTGGTACTTCTAACTGGGCAGTTCACTATAACCGTGAATATGTTCTGTCAACGGAGGAGTGGAAGAATGATGTCATAATGGAATTTAGCAGTGCAGGCGTGAAAGATTTCAGATATGTAACAGACCTTTTAATTTTTTGGGACTGGGCCTGAAAATTTTAGTCAGTGTCACGACAAATGGGACCAAATTCTGGTTAACGAGGGGATAAGAAATGGAACAGAATCTTGAGGTCTGTCCGTCAATTTCGACTGTAGAAATAACAATTATACAGTCAGTCGCCCCTCTCACTAGTGGTACTACTAACTGGGCGATTCACTATAACCGTGAATATGATAGCGATGAGATAGTATAAGATAGACCAGTTGAAAAATGATGATATAATAGAATTGAGCGCCGTCGTCGCAAAAAAATTTAAATTATGTAACTGAGCTTTTAATATTTTGGGACCGGGCCTGAGGGGACTTTGTCTCTGTCTCACGGGGGCGCTTACTTGGTCTCTGAAATGCCATTTACTGGACTGATTGTCAGAAAATACTTTACATGAGTAAAATACGTTTTAATTTCTACTGGGATTAAATATGCAACAAGTAAAAATTCTTAAGTTCAAAAGATCGCCTTAACATTTCATAATTTAAAGATTTTTCACGTATTTTTGAAACATACTATGCTTCCCAGAACTTCTTACCAACTGTTCGACTAATGTTGTTCGAATGATAATCAATAATATAATTTAAATTATCAAAATCTTCGTAACAAGCTCTCTCAATTTCTTAGACCAACATACTCATAACAGGGATTTTTTTTTCAAACATGACAAGTTGACTAGGTTATTTTATACTATACGTTGCAATTTAGGTGCACGGATTCACACAAAATTTTTCCCTTCTGTTTGGCATTGTTTGTTTACCGCATTAATTCATTTAGTCTGAGACCGACTGCATGTGAGCACTTATTTTTAGACCAACATACTCACAACAGAATAAGGGTGAAAAACATTTTTTCAAACATGACAAGTTGATGTATGCAATTTAGGTGCACGGATTCACGCAAATACATTTTTGGGATTTTTTCTTCTATTTTGGCATTTTTTGTTTACCTCATTAATTGAGTGAGCACTTATTTTGCGACCGACTGCATTTATTTTGCGACCAACTGCATTTATTTTGCAACCGACTATTTTTTTCGCTATTCGTATCCCCCACCTCCCATTTACGCCCCTGTGTACACCCATGTGTACACGGGACATCGTTTTTTCGTCTCATCCGAACGACTATACGTTGTCCCTTGCCAATTCCCCCGTTCTACACCACTGAGAATTATAATGGAAGCTTTATCCTACAGTGTAGTGAGTGGGGTATTAGTTATGGTTGTCAAAGCATCACAATATTTCTCTTTTGACGAGTTAGCATATATTTTAATCTCCCCTTTCTTCATTGAATTTATTCCATGGACATGAACCCATAATAGGGTCTAAGATTAAAACTATTTTTTTTAACGAAATACATATTTTAACGAAAAACACGTAGTTAAATGAATCATTCCTAGTGTATATTTCAAGTAGATATTTTAGTAGATACTTCAATTTTGATTGGCTAAGCACTAAAATCAATCTAATATTATCCAATCAAATTACTAAAATTTGGATTTTATCTTAGTTAAAACTTCGTGAAACAGGCCCCAGGTTCATAAAGATGGTTATATACTGAGCGCCATGGAAAATGCATCACTTTTTTCCCCCTAATATTTTATTACTAGGGGGTTTTGTATGTATAATATTATGCAATACTATGAACTGCTTTTAGAATAAACTAGTGATTGTATCCCATAAAAACTGTGTTCTGTTAATTCACTATTGTAAGGTTGGTGGAACGTGTTCGAGTTACTGGATCAACACGTGACCGTCAACGTCCTGGTCCACAACACGTTACAACCCAGGCTCAAGATCGCTACATCCGGGTCACTCATCTGCGTGATACATTCCGCCCAGCTACTCGAACAGGTGCAGCAATCGTCGGAAGACAAGGACCAGTAAGTGCCAACACCGTAAGACGTCGTCTAAGAGAAGTAGGACTCCGTGCACGACGACCTTATGTTGGAGCTATCCTCAGGGATCATCACCGTCAGCGGCGTTTGATATGGGCTCAAGGGCACCAGATATGGAGAAGAGTAGACTAGCAAAGTGTGCTCTTCAATGATGAGAGTCGCTTTCAGCTTTATCACGCTGATGGCCGTCAACGTGTGTGGAGACGTCTTGGGGAACGTCTTGCAGACTCCTGCGTCTTCGAAACGAATCGATGGGGTGGGGGAAGTGTAATGGTGTGGGGAGGCTTCACATTTCATCACCGGACCGCCCTACACATTTGCAGGGGTTGCGTTAATGCTGTAGCCTACCGTGATGATGTCTTGCAACCAATTGTTTCGAGCGCACCCACAACTTTAGCACTTCCAACAGGATAACGCACGTCCGCATACCGCCCGTTTTAGTATGGACTGCCTGGCTGCTAACAACATCAATGTCTTGGACTGGCCAGCCATGTCTCCGGACACGGCACCGAGAGAACGCCATCTGTATCTGAGACCACAGATGCACAACATTGCTGCTTTAGAAGCTGCTCTTGTCCAAGAATGGAACAATATCCCCAGGCCTTCTTTCAAACATTGGTCAATTCCATGCGACGTCACTGCACAGCGTGCGTAAGAGCCCGTGGAGGACACACGCGCTACTGACAACTGTGTCGTACTTTTGGTTTTGACCCCTCTGACTTTGTACCGTTGATTACAGATTAAACATCCATAAGTGTACAAATGTGTTGTTATTGATGTGTTCCTATTTGAATATTGTTCACAATAAGAAGCAAAATAAATAAGATATGTTTACAGGATCATTTTGTTATACGAAAAACTAAGTGATGCGTTTTCCATGGCGCTCAATGTCCACGGTGCAAAATGCGTATGTCAGCAGTTCTAAATACGTATTTTACTTTTAAAATTTGCAATTTCCATTGCTCCACAATACCAATGTCACAGTGTTAATATACAGAATACAGTTTTCAATAATACACAATACAGTATAATAGTTATTTTGCACATTACACTTCTTCATTGGTATTGTGGAGCAATGGAAGTTGCAAATTGTAAAACTAAAATACATATTTCGGACGGACAGGGGCGACCGCAATATGCGTTCACTTGAACATGTTAGCGTATAAAAACCTTATTTTTTCGTACAATCAGGGGCCATAAAACATGTGCGATTATCGAAAGGGGCAGAAATCTTTGGGATATAAACATACATTTTAAGTTTCACCGAAATCGGATGAAAATTGTGACCTTGGTATTACATACTTTTAGACTAAATTTCACGAAATTCAAACTCAATCGTCATTAGGGTTAACAGTGATATATTTGCACGGTTTCTAAAATTGGGTACAGATTGTGACCTCTAGAGGGACCATAAGGTAAAAACGCGATTTTTCGTACAATCAGGGACAATAATCCAGGAAGTGACAGTCCGATATGCACGAATATCGACAAGAACCGAGATATTTTTGGGTTATAAACATATATTTTAAGTTTCATTCAAATCAAATACAAAAAAATGTGACTTCTGGAGTGTCCACAAGCAATAACTCGTGATTTTTCGTACAATCAGGGGCCATAATTCATGAATTTACGCCCCGATACATGCTAATATCGAAAGGAACCGAGATCTACGATAGATAAACCAATATTTGAAGTTTCGTCAAAATCGGATAAAAATTGTGACCTGTAGACTGTTCGCAACTACATTGTGAACGGAGAGGCTATATTGGCCTTTTAAGTTTCACCAAAATCGGATGAAAATTGTGACCTTGGTATTACATACTTTTAGACTGACCTCTAGAGGGACCATAAGGTAAAAACGCGATTTTTCGTACAATCAGGGACAATAATCCAGGAAGTGACAGTCCGATATGCGCGAATATCGACAAGAACCGAGATATTTTTGGGTTATAAACATATATTTTAAGTTTCATTCAAATCAAATACAAAAAAAATGTGACTTCTGGAGTGTCCACAAGCAATAACTCGTGATTTTTCGTACAATCAGGGGCCATAATTCATGAATTTACACCCCGATACATGCTCATATCGAAAGGAACCGAGATCTGCGAGAGATAAACCAATATTTGAAGTTTCGTCAAAATCGGATAAAAATTGTGACCTGTAGACTGTTCCCAACTAAATTGTGAACGGAGAGGCTATATTGACCTTGTGTTACGTTCCTCCTTTAAACTAGATTTTTCAGACAGTAATAAATAAAAGTAGATACCCTTTTGATGAAGGTGTTGATTTCTCCGCAGGACTATTACTAGCTGTTGTCTTATTTACAACCTGAAAAAAAATCACTTCTACTTCTTTATTTACAATCGGGATCATATTCCCGAACACTGATTGCCGCTATTCCATATTCATTTAAATTTTCTGCGCTTTAACCGTTCAGACTTAGTCTCGCTTTCCATGTATGCTTTTTCGACGGCGAAAATGTGGGTCTTATGCAAATGTTATGTGACTGTTTACATGTAAGTGTTTCTACGAGCGCGAAATGCGCATAGAAACACAAGCTGCTCGATGAACAACTGTTTCGCATGCGTATCACTGTTCAGCCGGATGTTTCTTACAAGATATGGACAGAGAACGAGCTAAAACAAATGTGATTTTTCTGTACAATCAGGGTTAATAGTCCATGAAGTTACGGTCCGATATGTACGAATATCGACAGGAAGCGCGAATATCGGGTTATAAGCATACATGTCAAGTTTTATCAAAATCGGATAAAAGTTATTGCGACTTCTAGAGGCTCCACAACTTTGATTACATACTTTTACACTATTTGCGTACAAGGAGCAGCCATTTTGTCAAGCAGTTTCGGTCCGATTTTCACGAAATTCGAACTCAATCGTTATTATGGTGTAACGCTAATTATTAATATATTCGATCGGTGATTTAAATCGGATACAAATTGTGAATTTTCCTACAATCCAGGGGGCTGTTTCACGAAATTTTAACTAAGATAGAATCCAAATTTTAGCAATTTGATTGGATAATATTAGGTTGATTTTAGTGCTTAGCCAATCAAAATTGAAGTATCTACTAAATTTTGGATTTTATCTTTAGTTAAGATTTTGAGAAACAGGACCCTGGAAGTTGGATAATACATACATTTCAAGTTTCATCAAAATCGGATAATAATTGTGACCTCTAAATATCCACAAGTGATATTTCGTACAATTAGTGCCCATAATCCATGAAGTTATGAGATCTTTAGGTGATAAACCTATACTTCAATTAAAGATACATTATGGGAGATTAGATAAAGAGAAACTAGATAATGTAAAGGCAATTTGCTGAAAATTTCAGTCAAATCGATCCACCCTGAACCGAGAATTAAGCAATTGAATTTTGGACCTAGCCTCGATCACCATTTCTAAAGTAGGTAGGATAAAAACATAGTCTCGATTATCCATTTTTTATACACCCACATTTCCATGTGGACGTATATTGTCTTCGCCCCTGTCTGTCAGTCTGGACCTCCGTCCACAATTGTTTGTGAACAGTCTACAGGTCACAATTTTTATCCAATTTCAATGAAACTTGAAATATAGGTTTATCACCCTAAGATCTCGGTTCCTTTCGATATTGGCATCTATCAGACTGTAACTTCATGGATTATGGCCCCTGATTGTACGAAAAATCACGTTTTTAGCTTGTGAACACTGTTGAGGTCACAATTTTTATCCGATTTGGTTTAAACTTGAAATGTATGCTTATAACCCATAGATCTCGCTTCCTTTCAATATTTGTGCATATCGGAACGTAATTTCCTGAATTATGGCCTCTGATTGTTCGAAAAATCACGTTTTTAGCTTGTGAACCCTATAGAGGTCATAATTTTTATCCGATTTAAAGCTGCAATTTCATATTTTTAAGTTATATTTTTAAAATTTATTAAAATAAAGCCTTAAAATAGATGGTATCCATAAACCGTCCTACCTTGTTAAAGAATAATCCTATTAATCCTATAAGTCACTTTTGCCAGCTGAGAAATTGGCAAAAATATCATTTTCAACTTCAAATTCCAACGTTTGAAGGTAGCTAATGCATGGAGGCAATAGGAAAACAAGGGAGGTAATTGTGTTATTATTTCCTCTGTCAATGATTTTTAAGGGTGTGAAATAATGCCCATGGTCGTATAATAGTGAGTTGATAACCTATTGGGCAAAAGACATAAAAATAATTATGTTTTGACTTTCTTAGAAAATATGAAATTCTCGCTTTAAAAAAACGTATTATTATATCACCGTTACACCTAAGGACGGCTGAGTTTGAATTTCGTGAAAATCGGCCCAAAACTGACAGACAAAATGTCCACCCCTCATTCTCAAATAGCGTAAAAATATGGTATATCAAGGTTGTGGACCCTATAGAGGTCACAATTTTTATCTGATTTTGTTGAAACTTGAAATGTAAGTTTAAAACCCAAAGATCTCGGTTCCTTTCGATATTTGCGCATATCGAATTGTAATTTCCTGAATTATGGCCTTTGATTGTAGGAAAAATCACTTTCGTTTTAGCTTGTTCTCTATCCATCTCTCGAAAATGTGGGCGTATCCTGCCTGGCAGCCGCTTGTTGATTTAATCAGCAGCAGCAGACCGGGTTCTAATCCCGTAAATATCGCAGGCTAGCGATGCCATAGAAAGTTGATTATGGTTTTGATAAGTTAATTAATGTCTAATTAATAATTTAGATAACATTTCAGGCCTAAAGTAAGACCTGCAATTGGCATATTTAGCTCTTGCATAATGTATGGATAAAAATTGTGACCTGTAGAATGTCTACAAACAAAGCAAGGTCCCTGAATGGAAAGCGAGTCTAAGGGGTTGGGTTGTCGAGTGGTCTAACACCTGCACTTTAGGGTGGCCTGTCCGTGTTTTACTTCTATTTCTAAGGACCCCTACACACAAGCGAATTATTGAAATAAAATTGTATATATGCTGGCCCCCAAAAATTGTATTGCTCTAAGCACCGTTTTCCTTACCATTGGCAATTCTGGTATTAGGTTTATAGGCAATTTCAAGTCAGCTTCTTCTAATTTCTTGTCAGCTAGTGCTAATTTCCTTTCAGTTTCTTCTAATTTCTTTTGCAATAGTTCCCTTTCCCGTTTTTCTGTGTCTTGTGAAGATACAACCTTTCATAAAGAGAGATACATTTTATGAAAAAATATATCAAAATGCCAGACCGACAAACTGAAAACCTAAACTACTGCCCTTCGGGTTAATCGGCAACTCATAAAAGGCAACCGATCTACTTAACTCTGAAATGTATATCTTTGCATTTCGCGACAAATTGTTTCATTAAGGATTAGAATAATATGAGATAATCTGAGAAAGTGAACTGTTTTGGGGTCTCCTTAAATGTTTTATTTATTGCTGCCCTGAAAGGCTCCACAGTGGGGACCGAGGAGGTGGGTGGGTTAATTGATATTAACGAAAATCCCCCCCCCACCACCCAACAGAGATTTCGCATATAACCTCTTTCTAACGTGGGAAATGAAAACATCTAAAATCTGATTAAGAGTAGCAACCCATTGTCGGTAATGAAAACACTTAAAACAAACTAAAATCTGATTTAGAGTAACAAGTGACTTGTTGTTACTAACAACCCATTAAGTAATAATCAGAAATCATAAGAATTTGTCTGGCTTCTAGTTTTACCCCATGCAAACTTTAGTATACAAACCATTTAATATCTTGAATTCAGTTGTTCAAGTTATCAGAAATCTTTGAAAATCAGACCTTACACACTTTGTTTTGAATTTAAAGTCACTTTAATCTCTAGATTGTGGACGACAGACGGACGTATATAGGGGGCGAATCCAGGAATTTTTGCAGGAGGGGGTCTGCCAGGCTCCTGTTAAGAAATTTGACAGTTTACAATGCATGATGCCGTCAAAGTTACGTCTCTGGGTAATCCAACACCCCGTTTGACATCCATTTTTATCATGAATTAATAGGATCACATTGTGATTCAATTTCATTGATGCAAAGCATTAATTGTGATATCACACATGTCTATATCATTATTTCGTGCTTTGAATGTCAATCCCAACCCATCATCTGATGGTAAAGTATAAAAGAACACGACCGTTAGACTTTTCTCATAAAGTGTTGTTTTACAATCTTTTTTATATATAGCTGAGGAGGGTGGGGTTTGGACCCACCCCCCTCTGGGTCCGCCCCTGATATAATAAATACCAACGTACCGCAGTATACATTTCTTGCAGCTTTTCTTCTCTTGCTTTTAATGCTTCTTTCGCCAGTTCCTTTAGAAATCAAACAGGAAGATAAATAATTCAGTTGAAAGATTTACATCTAGACTTTATATTCTCCGATAATCGGCTGTTAGAAGTGTGACGTACAGTTAAATATAACCTACCTCTTCTACCTTTGATTTTCGTTTTTGTACTTCCCTAAAAAATACAAATCCAGAAAATGGGATCATTTTCCCAAAATAAGTTGAAATAATCAAGCTCCATTTCAGTTACCTCCATTTTTACCCGAATACAATGTAGAATATTTCACATATGTATGAGAAAACATAAGATAGGTTGCCGGGCAACAAAACATATGACCACGGCAGCTAATTCGTCCGGGCAGTCAACAATGGTTGTCGCATATTTTGTATGTAATGAGGGGAATTTTCAAGACACTTTCAAACAGATCAGATCATAATTTTCATCCTTTGAGGGTTCACAAGATGCTACAAACTGAAACAAGGGCCTATACAAAATATTGAAATTCGAAAGCCTCTTTCATTTTACTGATTTAAATAATACACACAAATTTTATACAGATCGGATTATGACTTTTGTCGCTCGAATGTTCCAATGTTCAACAAATTAAAACAAGGATCAATAACTCTAGAGGCAATTAACGGAAATTGCTGAAATTCAACTCAAATGATACAGATAAAATTCATACAGATCGAATGATAATTTCCGTCGTTAGAGCATTCACCAAGTGAAACAAAGTGGAACAAGGGCTATAACTCTAGACGTAATTAACGGAAATTGGTGAAATTCAATAGGTATTTTCGTTGCACTTACTCAAATAATGCATATAATTCTAGACGTAATTAACGGGAATTGCTGAAATTCAGTAGGTTCCTTCGTTACACTAATCTAAATAATGTGTATCAATTTCATACAGGCTGGGTGATAAATTTTGTAGTTAGCCGAACCTTCACCAGGTTCAACAACGTGAAACAAGAGCCATAACGGTAATTGCTGAAATAGAATAGGCTTCCTTGTTTCGCTAATCTAAATAATGCATATAAATTTCATACAAATCAGATGATAACTTTTGTCGTAAGAGAGTTCACATGGTTCGACAAAGTGATAAAAGGGTCATAACTCTAGACGGAAATTGCTGAAATTCAACTAATCTAAAGGATGCACATAAATTTCATACAGATCGGATCGGATGATAATGTATGTGTTAGGGTGTTCACATGGTGCAATAAAGTGAAACGAGGTTAATATACCTCCAGAAGAAATTAACGGAAATTATTGCAATTAAATAGACTTCATCTACGTAATATAAACAACATATCAATTTCAAAACAATCAAATGATAAATGTAGTCTATAGAGTGTTCACAAGAATGTGAGGACGACGACCGACGGACGGACGGGCGGAGGCGATGGCAATATACGACCACATTTAGTATTTAAACGGATTAAATTAATCAAAAGTGTCTAACAGAAAACAATTACGTTTCTATAATGATTCTCTTGTCGTTTTCAAGCACAAGTTACAGTTAGAGAATCATTTGTAGCTCTAAATAGAAATACAGTAACTGTTTTCCACAGAGCTATTGTGTATCATTTATTGACGAGCGGTTGCCACATTTTGTAAGATGGATAGAGAAAAAGCTAAAGAAAAACGTGATTTTTTCGTACAATTTTTACGAAACTCAAACTCAACCATTATAAAGGTTTAACGATGATATATTTAAACGATTTTCATAATCGGATAAAAATTGTGACCATAACCGAGATAATACACCATTTGCCTACTGGGAGCGGCCATTTTGTCGGACAGTTTCGGTCAGATTTTCACAAAATTCAAACTAAAACGTTATGGTGAAAATGTGGGCTTATAAAATACTTACTTTTCTTGTTTAAATGTTTTTTGATTAGGTCGTATAGACTCATCTTCATTTTCAGGTTCTTCATCAATATCGCATCGACTGAAAGAATGCGACCATAAAAACAACTAAGAGAGAAAAAACTATTTCTAACCATGGCGAGGCACAAGTACTTTCTAGTATAATTAAAAATTAACGCGCCCGATGTGACATTATGAGAGAAACTGTTAATTCACTTAAATAAACAAACAATCAGTACTGTCAGTGCCGGATTAACCATTAGGCAAATAAGGCACGTGCCAATATAGGGCCAGCCAAAAATCCAAGCCATAAAAAATTATGTTAATGTCAAACTTCTTCAACTACGCGCTTGTCCTTAAAGTAGCTAAGTCTCTAACTCAATATCATCCAAAATCTTCAACATTGAAAACACGATTTATTTGTCAAATTGAATCAACATTCATGTTGTGATCTTACCGGGAAAAGATGGGCTTTTGATATCCAATATTTAAGACAAAATAAACATTTTACCATTGGTACACGAATCGTGTACCATAATGCGCTCCAGCCCCAGTTGTATCAAGAGACTCGAGGGACGAGGCTAGACACATTGCACCAAATCAAACGGCTTATGTAGACTGGAATAACCAGACGCAAGAAATTTGCACTCGCTTGAGACTGCTGGCTTATTTCGCCGAACATAACTGATTTGAAATTGGAGTAAAAACGGAAACCATTGAATGTAAATCAGTTTATATACATTCATATTACAGTATTATATGCGTTGCGACCCACTTTTGTCAATTTCTGGGTCCCAAATGTTAGCGATTTAGCTCCTTTAAGTCTTTTCATACTCTGTGTTGAACGACAACTGGTTGAGCCAGCTTGACTGAACGTTTTGTCCTTTACACAAGTGACGTTTTGTATGAATTTGGTATTTTCAAGCTACACGTGCTTTTATAAGGCCAGTAGAGCCCTAATCTGGCACTGAATACTGCTATACAGACATACTATGACAATCATTGATCGAACTACTTTTCATCGTCTATTCATAAACAACCATTTGTTATCAGAGTATTGACAGTAGTAATAATAACATGACCAGTCTTTATTATCCGGGTTGTTGCAGAAGAGCAGGGCATTAAACACATTAGCGTACACGTAAAAGAAGCCTTGATAGTTGGAATTTGATATTTATAAGAGTAGGGTGTAGCGCTATTGTCTAGGCCACATGTCCCTAAAAGCATCCTGTAAGGCAGAAGCCTGTCATCAATAGTCCAGTTGGGGCAGAACAGTAGGACGTTAATCCCCATTTCATTTCATAAGAGATACATTAAGTTTAATAGCCAATCCTTACTTGTGTGAGGCATCAGCGTTCATATAACAATACCATTTATCTGGTAACTGTCTGTTAATACCATCTGGTAAACGTCGCCATTTTAAACAATTATCACACTGGGCCCATAACCAATCTGGCAGAGCCCTGTAAATAAATATAAGATAGCCATAAAAAGCGCGAAATTACACCGACAAGGCGTCCTTGTCTCAATAAAAAAGATACCCATCGACCAGCCTCCTGTTCAGAAGGAAAACTTGCTCTTTCATGAAATTCCTTGAGTGTTCAGGGTGCTGAATATTGCGTGGGTTCTCGGTTCTCGCTCTCACGTCCCCATTGATTCACACCATTAACAAACGTGGTTTGGGTGGGTGGGTGGCCGAATGGCCACGTGTGTGTGTCATTAAGTCAAGTGGCGTGGTTTCAATTTTCCGTTTTCTCCGGGCCCGCCCCCCTCCCCCACTGCTAAAGACCCCTTCGCGCTAGCGAATTACCGAAACAAAATTGTACTAAATGAACTGGTTCGTGTCGAATAGACGTTAAACACACACACACACACACTCTCTCTCTCTCGGCTGTGAGTTTGTGGTATGATATAATATCAGCAGTAAGGAAAAATGAGCGAGATACCTAGTCATAATATTAATTCCTACCCCTGACTGGCCGAAGTAGATTGATTCATCTTCTCATTCCAATAATCGTTGGTTTTAGTAGCCAGTGCTGTTATAAATGTACTGAAAATACGTAGTATTAATCAACCAAACATATATAAAAAATTTGAACGATAACATAAAAATTGCCTACAAATTGACATCTAATACAAAAGTTTGAAGGCCCATGTCAATAACTTTGTAAACTGACAAGGGGGATCACGTAGCTAAGTGGGTAAGACGCTGGCTCGCTAGCCTGGAGGTCGGGTGTTTGATCCCTGCTTTGGCCGAGAAAGTCAGTGATGCAGGACGGAGGGCCTGACAAGGACAGCTGTCTAGTCGTTCGGATGGGACGAAAAATCAAGGTCTCGTGTACACATTGGCGTGCACGTAAAAGATCCCTTGGCAGTTGGAATTCGATATAAGAGTAGGCCGTAGTGCAGCTGCCCGCCATAGGAGCAGAACAGTAGGACGTTACACTCCATTTCATTTCATGTAAACTGACAAACATATTTGTAATACGACGGCCAGAATTACACCAAGGACATAATTACCTAATCCAATAAGAATTGGGTTGGCGTTGCCATGGGGACTAATATGGGACCTTAAAATAATCGTAACAGACAACAATTTCCCGTGACTACCACCGGCGTTGCAGGAATTTTTGCAGGAGGGAATTTGCAAGATTCCTGAGACGATGTATCTTTTGTGAAGGTGAGGTAGCGGGGGAAAAGGCAAACGTTAAAAATTATAATACAGATATATAGGTTACTTGTAGCGTTCATTTTGCTCAAAATCTTGTTTATTGTGGATTGGTTGAAGAAAGTTGACTTCTACAACTCCGACAACGCCTACACCAAGGTCATTGGCTTGTTTCTGGTAACCAACTTTTTTGAAGGCTTTGATCAGTCGATTTTTATGGTACATCATAATACCATAATCTTCATAACCACCTTCTGAGCAGTTAAACCCGTAGGTTATTTTAATCGGTTTGTCCTATTATTGGTTAAAGATACATTATGTAAGATTTAGATAAAGAGTTGGCCGTTCTTGTTATAATAGTTCAAAAGTAGATAATGAAAAGTGAATAATATGTTGAAATTTCAGACAAATGACTTCATTACTTCATGTTTGAAGTAACATCAAATAGACTACATGAAGTAGTCTGAAAAATTACACTTGTATAGTTGAATTTTACTACATATGCTTACATTCGTATTTCGTGTAGCATATAGCAGATCATGACTCATGCTGGCATTACACAATGGGTTATTCCTAATTGTTTTCAAATTTGAGTGAAGTCTGTGTCACTACAGACCCGGGACTGTACAGCACAGTGGACGCTTACGGCTAGCCTCCGGATCCATTCACTTTTTTTTAATTGTCTGTATGTTTGTGTTTTCCTGAGTATGATGCCCTGTCCGTGTATTTGATTTTGTGTAAATTTTGTGTGGTGCAGTCCCCCTGCACTTACTATTTGAGTCAAGGAGTCAAAAACAAGCAAGAATCTTCAAGAGTAACATTCCAATCTATAGTACCAAGAATCTCACTATTATCAATATTCAGGAAACCTTTGAAAGTCACATTTTGGTATATTCCATTTAGTCGCATACTCCTCGCAGTGTTTCGTTTGATTAGACCTAATCCCACTTAACGCGGCTGTAATGGAAACAAATGTCTGTTTCAAATTATGACTGGTCAATAGTCCGATTAACCACCAATTATAGCTAACTGCGTAACACAATCATTCAGGTTTAAGCAGAGCGTCAAATAGGACCAAATATGTTTACATAAAGTTATGTTATGTTAGCCTTCGGTGGTTGGAGGGGCAAAGCTGGGGCAAAGTCCAAGGTTAAGGGGGCAAAGGCACGAGCTTCAACTAGGGGTAAAGTGTCAAACCGCGACAAAGCCAAATCACGACCGCCAAATGGGAGACCTTCCACAGAAAATTTGAAAAATAGACTGCGGGAAATGCTGTCTGACAGTATTAAGTCGGGCACCGATCGTCGTGATAAATAGATCTGACCAGATACCGTCCATCGCCTGATCACTAGTTTATCCGACCAGAGAACAAAATGTCAAACGAACGGACTTGTGAAACTCAACGAAGTCCCCTTGTGAGCGCCTCCCCAAGAAAATTTTAAATGTAGACTGTCGGAAATGCTGTCGGACAGTATTCAGGCACCGATTGTAGAGATAAATAGAGCTGATCAGATGCAGTCTGTCGTCTGATCACTAGTCTATCCGACCCCAGTGTCAAATCAACGGACTTGCGAACCTCAATGAAGCCCCCGAAAATTTTGAAAACTTGACTGTCGGAAATGCAGTCTGGCAGTATTTCAGGCATTAATCGTCGAAATGCAGCATTTCAGACACTGCATGGTCATCGAGATAAATAGAGCTGACCAGATACTGTTCGTCCCCAAATCACCAGCTTATCCGAATAGAGAGGGTGGTGTCAAACGAACGGTGTCAGTGTATCAAGTGAATGCATATTCTTGCAGCGTTGACCTATACCCAAAAACTTTGAAGATCGTAAAAAGCACTTTCCAAATGATTCACGTGTTATTGTTCATAGTAGGTTTACAGCAGAATGGGTTTGGTAAGAAATCACTCAGACTCTACAACATGCAAGTCTATGACTGAGTGGGGATGTGGGATTTAATCACTGTAGAAGGTATTGATTACCGAAACGTATCACAAATACTTTTTTTTTAGGAGGGGCAAACAGAGGGCAGACCCCCCTGGCGCCGCCACTGCTCGCGAAATATTACGCCCAATTAACCAGTGCATAGCAGAATATTGTAGAGCAACTAATTGCGAGACAAACGATGCTATCAGACGGCTACAATGCAAACAATACTTTTGGGAGACGAACAATACTTTCACCGTTTTTAATACCGGTACCTTAAATCACTGTCTAAAGTTTCAGGGAAGACCCCAGATTACACGAAGGGCTGTACTTGGGATAGATTTGATTAAACGAGAAGAATAGACACGCTCCCTCAAAAGCTCAAGTATCGGAAGTCAATCCAACAATGGCCAGAGAGGGATTTCTCGGGACATTGCTTCAGGAATATGATTTAGTAGTTTCCTGATGATATTCAGGCAAAAATATAGACATTGAAACCGACAGCTGCATCCGGACCCTGGAAACACTGTCTTTAAAATTGGTGCGGTGTTGTCGAGTTCATCAGGTCACCCATATCAAACGTCAAATTTGAGTAACATAGTTTTAACTCAATATTTTGAGCTGAAACTCCCAGAAATAATAAATAAGCTTTTTCATTTTGAAATTTGAATACATTAAACACACTCGTATCAACTGATACCCCTATGGAATCTAAAAAATATCCCAAATCTATGTTTCTTTCTTTCGCCAATAACAATAACCACAGAGTTTTAGTGTCATTTAAAAGGATACCAGCCATTGAGGATTATATGTGTCGTAAAGTGTCTGTGACAAACTTCTAGTCATCAATTTTGTTTTCACCTTATTTCCTCTTAAAAATATCTTCATCCGTGGTTTCAAAAACAAAATACTGCAATATTCCTGAAATAAAGTTATTGAGGACTGTATCTTCAATTGGCTTCGGTATGAACGCCGCTCACATAGAAGAATGTAAGGTTTATAAAACAAAATCTTAAATGGTATAGAAAGTTATGAAATGAGAACAACTTATCAGTTGCCAGACAACGAAACATGCCCACATCAGCTAAATCGCCGGAACAATCCACGACAGGGTAAATAAAATGCAAAAATAAAATCTAATCTAGACCCCTTTTAAGAGTCTACGGTGATCGGAAAGTTGAATTAAACGGGCTTCTTTGACTTACGCACATCCATACCCTTTGTCATGTCCAAGTTGAGATTGAAACAACGCTACTTGACTCAATCACAGACCTTATGTTCTAAAGCGTATGTGTTACCCCCCACCCCCTTTGTCATAAAAAACTAAGTACATCGATCAATATAAGTAATAAACACATTGTCAAATCTAAAACAATATTTTTACCTTTAATGATGTTTCATATTTAGATTTAGCTTCTTGTATCGGCCGGTACACTGAGGTCGTATCAATTTCTAATGTCTGTGGATTTAGTATATCTGTCGGATCACTTTCAAAATCAAGCTCCAACTGGCCTATATTATTACTGAAAATAGTGTACAACTAATTATCTTTCAGTGAACCGTACCAGTGGTGGGTGTGGCGCAGAAGGCTGATCCTTTTATGAATATCTGATACCGTCATTCATTATAGGAATTATCGAATGTGATGAGTCCATTTGGCATCAAATCATCTCCTGGACTGTGGATTTGCCAATGATGAGAATTGATTTTTTTCAACAAAATTGCGTTGTAATATCATCATATTCATCGTGTGAACAGAAAGGTTTTGAAACAAAAATATATTAGTTTTTTTTTCTTTTCTTTATTTAAAGACAGATCATCAACTCAAAAGAACATTTCACTGCATCAATATAATGATCATGTTCGACTACAGGCATATCACTCTGCACACATAGAATCATCTATACTTTACCCACAGGAATCTGACCGTCTATCCGTATATATATGCATACACCAAGTCGTACCAGACAATATATAATAAAAAAACAACAGGAATGCAATGCCTGTTGAAAACTCGATCTTGCCTGCTCTCGCTTCGGCTCGTTTTTTTTCAACAATTCGTAATGTCAGGCAACCAAACTTCTGTCAATTATCTCAGATATGTTTTTTCTTCAATCTAGTCGTTTTGATTTGCATAAATACTCCCACAAAACGATATCATCGCCACTTGTTTCCAATATTTACATCGTTTTCGCCCATTTTCATTTTGTCACGACCGCCATGCGCTGACGTCACACAAATAGACGCATTCGACAGACCTCGGTTTTTTTTGTTGCTGGGGTTGAGGGATTCTACAGATATTCGCCGAATATGTATAGACGTTTCACTGACGCATGAGACGACCCTACTCCTTATTATGTGTTAACCATTCGGCCATTTTAGTAGCTTTTCATGTAAGCAATTTTAAAATGGGAGCTAAAGAATAAAATTTGCCTAATTTTTTTAGTACCGTAGCTTTTCATGTAAGAAATTTTAAAATGGGAGCTATAGGATAAAATTTGCCTAATTTTTTTTGGTGATTTAAACAATGTTTTTTTTTTTAAAAATCAACTTCATAGGATTTTTTTTATATAGGCCTATATATAAAGTTTTTTTTCCTTTTTAAAATGCTGTTTGGTAAATCCAACAAACTACAAATGGTTCTGTTGAGGCCCTTCAAAATTGAATGGACGATTTATTTATTATAATTGTTTTGTTTTTTTCTTAAATAGTAGGCCTACTTAGCCTATGCAGAATTGAGATTTTTACATTAGTTTTAATTGTTTCTAAAATACGAAATGTTAAATCAGATGAACTAAAAATTATATTGATATCACATAATATTGTATTTATAAATATTTTTTCAATTACAAGACCTGTCACAGCTTGTGTTACTCTGCCAAAGCCCTATGAAGTTGATTTTAAAAAAAAAAAAACATTGTTTAAATCACAAAAATTAGGCAAATTTTATCCTATAGCTCCCATTTTAAAATTGCTTACATGAAAAGCTACAGTACGGTACTAAAAAAATTAGGCAAATTTTATTCTTTAGCTCCCATTTTAAAATTGCTTACATGAAAAGCTACTAAAATGGCCGAATGGTTAACACATAATAAGGAGTAGGGTCGTCTCATGCGTCAGTGAAACGTCTATACATATTTGGCGAATATCGATAGAATCCCTCAACCCCAGCAACAAAAAAACGAGGTCTGTCGAATGCGTCTATTTGTGTGACGTCAGCGCATGGCGATCGTGACAAAATGAAAATGGGCGAAAACGATGTAAATATTGGAAACAAGTGGCGATGATATCGTTTTGTGGGAGTATTTATGCAAATCAAAACGACTAGATTGAAGAAAAAACATATCTGAGTGAATTGACAGAAGTTTGGTTGCCTAACATTACGAATTGTTGAAAAAAAAACGAGCCGAAGCGAGAGCAGGTAAGATCGAGTTTTCAACAGGCATTGCATTCCTGTTCTTTTTTATTATATATTGTCTGGTACGACATGGTGTATGCATATATATACGAATAGAAGGTCAGATTCCTGTGCTTTAACAATAGATTTCTTCCTTGAATGGCTGCAATATTGAAAAAATAGTGAACTATTTTGTTATGTTGTTCTAGTCCGTTATACGCCTTCCATACACGCAAAGATTACATTAATATTTTTGATTCCATTGAATATGAAAATGGAAGCAGAATAAATACTTACACTACAAGATTGTAAAGTATAAGTCTCGTTCCTGTTTTATGTTCTGCTAATAATTCAAATTCTTTTAACAGACGCTCTTCTGAATTGAATAGCGAATATTTTGTAATCTCTCGAAGATTACTGACAGTTTCTGTTGAATTGGACCTCTTCTGTTCAAAGGTGTTAAGTTGATATTATAGCCAAACAATATTACATAACCAAACAAAGTCTCCATTTAAGATACACAATGATACATGATATAAGAGCTAAATCTGCCTATTGCACGTCTTGTTTCTGGATTCAAATGTTACATATTGGTATTTGATAATTAATTATCACGGAAAAGTCATAATCAACTTTCTGGGCCAACAAATGGACCCGATTTTAAGTATATTAGAACACAGCAACTTTAATTATTTTAAAATCATCTTCTACCTGTCGTATTGAAATGAGGTTTAACGTCCTACTGTTCTGTTCCGATAAAGACCATTTAAACGATCTTTGCTAGATTATAAGAAAGAAATGTCAGAAGCCTTAACATGTAGAGGAAAACAACATACGCAAAATATTACAAATATATATCACAGAATTATATTTCAATACAGATTTTTGACTAATCCATCAAACAAATTCGACCGCAAACACCACTGCCATACCAGCCAAATCTTACTTGGGGAGAGCTAGACATGAATTTGGGCATTAAATCAAATGGAAGTTGTACGATCCATTGATATAGTTAGTATAGTGTTACACAAGGGCTAACTTGTGTAAAACATCACACCATTTTAACACGGGGTTGGCTTCACATAAGGAAACATTCGGAAGAAGAGTCAAAATTCCCAACCCCGTCTATAAATGACTGTATGTCAATTCCAATAGAACCGTGATGACAACACGTTATCCCCCATTTGCATTCTATATTCAATATATATGAGACTGTCCAGCACGTTTTAGAGTTTGCGTAAATATGAGGAAATAGCCGGTGTGAAGCTAAAACCATTTAAAAATTTGAAAGGATATTGTTTAGTATATTCCATGTTACCATAGGAATGACTACAGTTTCGGCTTTTATTTGATTCAAATAATTCTGTGACAACATTCCAACACTCATTTCTTTTAAATGCCGAGTAAAAACTAAAACATCCTTAGCAATCCTCATAGAGCCCGATTTAAAGCCATTTCCATAATGGCCAATCGGTTGGTGTTGTGATTTTCCTTCATAGACATGCTTTTCACAAAAGCCAAAACTGAAAGAAAAAAATATTTACAACAAGCCAACAGTGAGGCTGATCTCTCCCGCTAAAATGCCAAAATAAATAGATGACACATATTAACTAATCGCACATTTTTTTCAAAATATCGAGCAATCAAACTGATTATCAACTATACACTAGGTTTCATCACTCTCTATCAGATAGATAGATAGTTATCTTGTCCCAAAGCATCGACCAATGAAATTGCTTAGCTCTGCTTAGCTTTAGCTCGAAATGTTAATCATTGAACTCGGTCAAGACATACACCTAATGAACATCTACATCAAGTTTAAACATTCTACTTCAATTAAAAGCAGAGGTATTATGTCTTGGCCAATCGCTCTTTAGTCTAAGCAGAAAATTTTCACCATCGAACTTAGTCAAGGAAATGATAGGCCTATAATGAATCTATATTCAGAGTTTCATCGCACTCCACAAAGTATCGACCAATCAGATTGCTAAGCTCTGCTAACCTAAGGAGAATATGCTCACCGTCGAACCCCATCGAGACATTGACCTCATAAACACATACACAAAGTTTGAGCATTCTAGCTTAATTAGAAAGAGTTATTGTGTCCCAAAAAGTGTGACGGACGGACCGGCCGACAGATGGACAGACAGACGGACGAACCCATTTTAATAGTCCCCTGCTTTCTTTGATAATCATCATAATCCAATAAACAATAAGATTTTGAGAATCTGAAATATATTATAGATGTCTTATATCATAAATCGAGGTAAAATTAGCGTCATGATGTTATATTGGTAACCATCAGAAAAACAAAAATTCAATTCTTCTCACAAACCTTAGCATCTTTAGTAATTTATCAGGAGCTAAACCTGATCCATTATCAGTAATAGTTAAACAAGTTTTCTTTGATAGGCCTAACTCTTCTTTATCAATCCATAAACCTTTAGCATTGACATCGGGATCATACGCATTATCTGAATAATGGAGAACATATATAAGCAGCAAAAGAAACGTCAGGTTGGTATGTGTGAGAGACTTATTGATCTCGACCCAATTATCTCCCTCGTTTGACTCTTTGAAAAAGTGAGTTTGTAGTGTCGGAAAATAAACCAGGAAAAATTGTCTGTCGCATTTTTGTCAAGTTGTTTTTTGGTGTGCCTTTCCAAGTTGCGGTACCTATTTTAGTGGTCCAGTCTTCACTATTTGTGATAGAATTACTTATTTCAATACAAACTGTAATGATATGTGTTGACAATTGTGCGTTTGAACCTATTCGAACTTGCGTAAGGATTCTTAGACTGTATCAATTGTAACGTTAAACAGTAACTAATGCTGCACGTGCTGTTCACCGGGACCAGCCCTATAAAATGCACCCCCCATACATGGTTGAATCATTCACACTACAACGTCTACAGCAGGCCACGACTCGGGACAGCTCAGGGGAACACGAGACCAAACACAGCCGATGGATTATGCCAGACTTTTCTGAGAGTGTGGTTCCAGGTGCTAATGGCAGCCATCAATCGTCTGGTCCACTCCATGTACTGACGCTGCGCTGCTGTTATTTATACTCGCGGTGGACACACCAGACACGGGTGTATAGATTGTATACAGACTCTGAAACCTTCTCGTAATGTTTTACAAATTGTGATGAATTAATCACTAATGTGTCAACATACTGTTTACAAAAAATTGCTGTTATCCATTTAGTAAATTGTTTTCTAGACTGATTTGATTAAAGTGCTTCTCTGAGTTTGAAATCGTACTGACCAAATTTGAAACAGATCTGTTAACAAGCAGTTGCTACACAAGATACGGCTACATTTTGCAAGAAATTTCGTACAATAAGGGGCCATAATCCAGGATGTGACGGTCCAACATGCATCAATATCAAAAGGAACCGAGATCTTTGGGATATAAGCATATATTTTAAGCTTAATCAAAATCAGATAAAAAAAATGTAACCTTGTGGACCACAAGCTAAAAACGTGATTTTTTTTTGTACAATCATTGTCCTTAATCCAGGTAGTTACGGCCCGATATGTGCGAATATCGAAAGAGACCTTTGGGACATAAACATAACTTTGTATTACATATTTTTACACTATTTGAGAACGGAGAGTCGCCATTTTGTCCGATTTTCACGAAATTCAAACACTATCTTCATTAATATACTTGAACGCTTTTTAAAATCAAATAAAACATTGTTACCTCTTGCGGGTCTACAAGCTAAAAACACAGGTACATGAGGACAGGAACGCCCTTCTTACCTATGTGATTTTTTCAAAATTTTTGATTTTGTTTTTTTTCCTTCATATTCTTCAAAAATTTTAATCTTCTTTATTTTCTTCCTATTTGGTTCTAAATCATATAATATTTACTATCAAACATGTTAGTATATAAAAAAAAATTATACCTTCTGCTGTATCTAATAAAAGAGAAAGGTGATTTATGGCAAATAAACTAAGCATTTTTTTTTTAAATTTGAAATATGTGTTTTTATCGAAAGAAATATATATCGAAGGGAACCGAGTGGTTGATTTGTAAGGCAAGACAATTTTATGCACGATTTTGAATTAAATAGTGACAGGGGTACCTCACGGAGAAAAAAATGTCAACAGAAAAGTGTCTCACCTTTCTCTTTTATTATATAGGCAGAAGGTATGATTTTTAATACGAACATGTTTGATAGTAAATATTATATTATTTAGCGCCAAATAGGAAGAAAAATATTAAGAAGAAATCCCAGAAAATCATGAAAATATTTTGAAAAAAATCACATATAGGTCCACCATATAGTGCCTGTCCCCATGTACCTGTGGCTAAAAAGGCTATTTTTCGCATAAGCAGGGGCCATAATCCAGGAAGTTACAGTCGCCAATATCTAATGGAACAGGGATATTTAAATTACATTTTATGAAAATCGGATAAATATAGTGACTTCTAAAAGGTGCACAAGCTAAACTCCTGATGTTTCGTACAAACAGGGGGCATAATCGTCGAATTTACGGTCCGATGCATGCTAATATCGGCAAAGGCGGTATAACTCTGGAACGAAAGGTCGCAGAACGCTGATTATCCATATAGTATCAATACTATTCGTCTTCTAATAACGACAATTGTGACGTCCTGTGGTGTCCACAAACAAATGTGAGCGGTCACACGCCATATGGAGGTAGCCGCGGTGGTTCAGTGTTGGCTGAGAAAGTTCATCTGGTTTTTTTTCCGGTTTGGTTCCACCATGTCAGTGGTGAAGGGAGGAGGGTCTGGCAATGGGCATATTGACGTGCACGTAAAAGAACCCTTAACAGTTGGAATTCGTTATAAGAGTAGGCCGTAGCGCCAATGTCCGGGCAAAATTCCCCCATCGCACACTGTATGGCGTATGTCCGTCTTCATTAGCCTAGTCGGCGCAGAGCAGTAGAATGTATAACATACCCGATGATAACGTCGAGCAATAGAAGTGTGTTCCGAGTAAAATTATACATTAGGCTTACCTATTAATTCTGCTATTGCACTAAACACCCAGATGTGATTTGTACTGTTGGAATGTAGAAAGCTCGGACTGACCTAAAATGAAACACAGTACTTATATAACATTGTTTTAATTATATAAATCTATTTATTAGGATATGGTCACAACAATCACTTTAGGCAAACCTATAAAAAGATCCCTTGGCAGTTGTAATTTGATATAAACGTAGGCCATAGTGCTGTGCCCAGGCAAAATTTGCTTTATAGCACACTGTATGGCGTATATGCCCATCTTCATTAGACCATTTCATTTCTAATTCATTTTACTAGAACCATTTTACTTAGGTAATTACTGTTTGTTTTTCTCTTATATGTACTTTTATTTACTGGTTGGTATATATCTTTCAATTTTGTACTGTGTATATGGGCACAAGACCTGATCTCTGTGTAAATACATGTATTCTGTGAATATAAGAACCTGAACAGCACATTAGAAACCGTTCTCCAGTATTAATACACTTTAAAAAATGATGATGTTATTATTATTATTATATACATTTTTCATTAATACTAGTGGTCACTGGTGTATAGTATTGTTGTGTACGAGGAAATTTATATAATTGCATTTGTTTATTTTTTTTAATTTCTTTCTTTAAATAAATGTAATCTTATACTCTCTTATAGGGGATTGGGTATCGAATGGGTAGCATATCATAAGGTCTGTCATTGAGTCCACTGGCGTGGTTTAGATTCCACGGTTGTACTTGACAAGGAGAAGGGTGGCCTGTCCAACCTCATGGGTTTTCTCTGGGTCCTCCGGTTTCCTCCCACTGGTAAAAACCACTACACGCAAGCGAATTATTGGAATAAAATTGAACCAAAATTACCTAGTTTGGGTCGAGTGGAAGTTAAACCCCATTTCTCTCTCTCTATACTCTTATAATAAGTCTATTGTTTTCTCGTTTTAAAAAAATAGTAAAATTGATGAAGGTGAATTATTATTAATTGTATCGATCAGATCACATGGTATTATTATTTTTGTTTTTTCTTAGCATTATATATAATTATAAGACGGAACCAGTATTTCAAGCATGCCAAAATCGTTTTCATCTGTATTAAGTATATATTTCTTTTGGCTATTGCTTCACTGAAATAGTTTTGAAGAAATACTTGTTTCCAGAAAATAAAAGATTCATTCAATCATTGGTGCTATTTCCTAATTATTGGCCATATTTATGCCACAGATCAGGGGTAAGTCGTCTTTACCGTGTCAATGCAACATTTAACAGGTGATATTATCCAGTAATCCCGGCATATTTGCAGAGAAATTCTCTCAGGCAAATGTAAACAATCCAACGTGTTCCGTCTCATAAAAGGTATTCACTGGTCTATTTATGGCTATTGACCCTTGATCTATGACGATCTTTGCTTTTATGGTTTCTGATTGGCTTAGAATTTGATTTTTTCACCCGATTATGGCTACACTTGACAAATATAGTTCGAGACGTAATTCAAGTGCAAGACGTATTGTGCAATGCATTGGAACAGAAAAGTATGCGACAGTGGCGGCCTACTGGTTAAATTATGTAACAAAGCGTCAGATTTTCAACCGGAATTTGCTGGGACGAGATGAAACGATTTTCGGGGTTAAATCACAGCCTATATATGAATTTTCTCGATAATATGACCAGATCCAAAGAATGGGAATAGAGGGAAAAGAATGGCAAAGGGAAATGGCACACGAGTTGGAAGTAGACACTAAAAGACGGGCTGTGGGCTGGTGAAAGAAGGGCTCGGGAGAGGGAAATGACCCACGAATTGGAACTAAGGAGATTAGCATTGGAAATGACCTCTAGAGATAGCATAATGTCAGGGGTGCGAGGTCAGAACTTAAGTTTGAGAATTGGGTGCCGCCCTTCAGTGCGCGCCTAAATTCCATGAGCATGAAGTGGAAAGTTTCTTCCTGAATTTCGCTTGGAATAGCCGACCGAATACTGGACAATTCTAATTGTGAGAAATTTGCTGGGCAAAGTCCAGGATGTTTTCGCGGCCATTTCATTTGAAAATTCCAGTGATTATGAGGAAGTGAAAAAGGTTATCTTAGCCGCGTATGGATTGGTGCGCGATGCATACTTCAAAAAGTTCTGTGACGTCCGACGCGACTCAGGGGATCACGTGGCTAAGTGGGTAAGACGCTGGTTCGCTAGCCTGGAGGTCGGGTGTTCGATCCCTGCATTGGCCGAGAAAGTTCATCCAGATTTTCCGGCGTGGTTCCCCCTTGTCAGTGATGCAGGGCGGAGGGCCTGACAAGGACAGCTGTCTAGTCCTTCGGATGAGACGAAAAACCGAGGTCCCGTGTATACATTGGAATGCACGTAAAAGATCCCATGGCAGTTGGAATTCGATATAAGAGTAGGCGATAGTGCCGCTGCCCGGGCAAAATTTCCCTCATAGCACACTGTATGGCGTATGCCCGTCTTCATTAGCCCAGTATAGGAGCAGAACAGTAGGACGTTAAACCCCATTTCATTTCATTTTCATTTTCAAACTCATAAAATCTTGTGAAGACGGTACAGGCCAGATGTCTAGTCCTTCGGACGAGACGAAAAACCGAGGTCCCGTGTATACATTGGAATGCACGTAAAAGAACCCTTGGCAGTTGGAATTCGATATAAGAGTAGGCGATAGTACCGCTGCCCGGGCAAAATTTCCCTCATAGCACACTGTATGGCGTATGCCCGTCTTCATTAGCCCAGTATAGGAGCAGAACAGTAGGACATTAAACCCCATTTCATTTCATTTCATTTTCCGACGCGACTCACACCAGACACATAAACAATCATTTGAAAATCTTAGCATGGCGAGATAGATGGAGCAATTCAACAAGAAGTTACCATGCAAAATACGCCCACACTTTGCAAGAGATGGACAAAGAACGAGTAAAAAAAAAAATAATAATGTGATTTTTTGTACAATCGGGGTCCATAATCCAGAAATATATGGTCCGATAAGCGCGAATGTCGAAAGGAACCGAGATCCTTGGGTTATAAACTTACATTTCAAGTTTCAACAAAATCGGATAAAACTTGTGACCTCTATAGGGTCCACAACCTTGATATACCATATTTTTACCCTATTTGAGAAGGAAGGGCGGCCACTTTGTCAGTTTTTGGCCGATTTTCACGAAATTCGAACTCAGCCATCCTTAGGGTGTAACGGTGATATAATAATACGTTTTTTAAATCGGATAAAAATTATGACCTCTATAGGGTCCACAAGCTAAAATCGGATAAAAATTGTGACTTATAGGGAAAAAGAAGTTAGTTAAAAAATTTGTCTGGCAGGAAACTCAGATCAAGCCTTCTTGATTGAGCTACATAAACCAAACTCCTGTACATCTATTAACCAATTCATGGTGACGGATCTAAAACCTAATCAAGATGACATACAGCTGGCAACCTCCAATATCAATAATATTCTTATTAATGCCAGTAGGGCCTGTGTTAAATTAATAACCATAAAGAAACGGCGAAAAAAAAATAAATGGTTTGACCGAGATTGCGAACGATTAAGCCATGATATGATGACCGCACAAATTAAACTAAACAATAACCCAACTGACAATATATTAAGAAAGATTTACTATAGTAGGAAAAAACTGTACAAGAGAATTACCAAATTTAAAAGTCGCCAAGCCAAAAATAGTATTTTAGAAAAACTTAATGAAATTCAGAGTCAAAACCCGAAAGAATACTGGAAACTAATAAACTCGTTAATTAAAGAAAACCCCGGGGATGATAAGAATGAGGGCATATCCATTGATAGTTGGGAAAGACACTTTAAAACTCTATTCAAAGATAAAACCATGTCAAACAACAATGTGAAGAAACAGATGATGCTATCAATTTACTTCTAGAATCAAACAAAACTAATAAGGAAATAAACTGCAATTAAAGTTCGAAAAGCTTTTACGGGACTAAAGAGGAATAAGTCTAGTGGGCCCGACTTAATACTAAATGAGATGCTTCTTGCATCATGTGAGTACATGATTGATGTGTATATAAAATTCTTCAATCTAATTCTTGAATCTGGGAGCTTTCCCGAACAGTGGCGCGAATCGTTCATAGTCCCAATACATAAGAAGGGGAGCATGAGGACGCTTGTAACTATCGCGGAATTGTGCTAGCCAGCTGCTTGAATAAACGCTTTTTATCCATTATAAATAACCGTATATCTAAATATATTGAATATAATAACCTTTTTGACCAAGCACAAAGCGGATTCCGAGCGGGCCGTAGGACGGTGGATAATGTTTTCATTCTTAAGACTTTAATCAACAAATACAAGAAACTTAAGAAACCTCTATATTTATGCTTTGTCGATTTCTCAAAAGCATTTGATTCAGTTTGGCGCAAAGGTCTCCTTCTTAAATTATTGAAACATGACATTAATGGGAAAATATTTGAATTGATTAAATCTATGTATAAAAATACATCCTATGTGGTAAAACACAACGACTCCATTTCATATAATATTGATTCTACCATGGGAGTTAAGCAAGGATGTGTTTTAAGTCCTACATTTTTTAATATTTACATCAATGATTTAAACCAATACTTAGACAATTCTACAGACAGTGATAATTATCCTATATTAAATACTACTGGTCTATCCCATCTGCTCTTTGCTGACGATCTTGTGCTGATGTCAGCTACCGAAATAGGATTACAGAACAACCTTGATAATCTAAAACGTTTCTGTGATGACTGGAAACTTGACCTCAATAAAGATAAAAGCAAAGTTATGATCTTTAAAAACAATAAGAAAAAAACAACAAAAAAATTTGTCTTTGGCCACGTCAATTTAGATATTGTAAAATCTTATCTTTACCTAGGCATTTTCATAAATGATAACGGATCTTTTAAATCAGCTATTGTGAATTTGGAAAAGAAGGCTAGGAGAGCCTGGTTGGGCTTAAGACATAAAGTCTGTACATCTAATCGCCTTCCAACACATGTTCTGATAAAACTTTATGAATCAGTCGTGAAACAAATATCTTTATATGGTTCAGAAGTTTGGGGGGATAATTTAGTGTTCAGTAAGAACTTTGAGATAGAAAATTGGGATAAAATAAATACGAATAAAATGACCATTAAAATATGTAAATCTATTCTTACACAGCCATTAAAATCATCAAATATAGGCTGCTTGGCCGAATTAGGAATTTTTCCTGTTAATATCGATATATTCCAAAGAATGGCTATGTACTATAAAAGACTAAACGAAAATAGCAATAACTTAAGTAACTCATTACTGAATTCTGCATACAAGGAAGACATAAAAATTTCGCAATCAAACCCAAAACTCTCCTGGTATGCGGCTATCCAAAATATCTTCAAAAAATATGACATTCCTCCAACAACAATTTCGAGACAGAATATTAAAAGTTCAATAGAAAGTAAGTTTAACGATCTCCTTGCTGAATCTTGCGGGCCGAACCATAAACTCAGAACCTTCGGATTATTCAAGAAGAAATTCAATAAAACTCCAAAATATCTAGAGGTTGTTAATAATAAGAAGTTCAAAATTGCGATGTCTACCCTACGATTAAGTACTCACCAGCTTGCCATTGAAAGGGGTAGATATCTTAAGATACCACTTCAGGATCGCTTCTGTAAAAAATGCAATGCAGGCAAAATTGAATCTGAACAACATTTTCTTATGGAATGCCAAAATTATGAAGATTTAAGAAAACAATATATATATCAAACTCTTGACAATACTGGTCTAACCTTTTCATTTGAAAACCTATTCGACCCACCGAGTATTATAGCCACAAGTGTCGCAGCCTTTGTCTACTTCTCTTTTCTTAGGAGAGACATCTGTTCAATATGCATGATATTTTATTTTCTTTTATGTGCGCACGCTTTGTTTTGTATTTTGATATATTATGTACCCTGTATGTGGGTCTTATACTGTCGAGTTATGTGATTTAATACTTTGTACATTTTGTTCCATATGCAGGTTTCATACTGTTTATTTATGAGTGTTCTAAATTTATGTCCGTCCATATTTTTGTATCCGTCCATTTTTTTGCACCTGTATATTTTGTATATTGTATGTTGTCCTCAAGGGAGGTTCCGATGCAATATTGTGTGTCTTGTGTAATAATTGTCATATCGTTATAATTTTTATGTACACGTTTATATTGTATGCTGTCCTAAATGGATGTTTCGATGCAATAAAATCTTATCTTATCTTATCTAACTAAAGGGGTCACAACCTTCGTATTATATACTTTTACACTATTTGCGTACAAGGAGCGGCCATTTTATCGGACAGTTTCGGTCGGATTTTCACGAAATTCGAACTCTTTAATCATTAAGGTGTAACGGTTATATATTTAAACGGTTTTTAAAATTGAATAAAACTTATGACCTCTCGAGGGTCCACAAGCTAAAATCGTGATTTTTTCGTACAATCAGGGGCCATAAGCCAGAAAGTTACTGACCGACATGCGGAAATATCGTGATATTTTGTGCTATAAACATAAATTGAAAGTTTCTATAAAATCAGATCAAATTGTGACCTCTAGAGGGTCCACAACCTTGATATACCATACTTTTACACTATTTGCGTATGAGGAATGGCCATTTTGTCGTCAGTAACATCATTATGGTGTAATGGTGATATATTTGAACGTTTTTTTTTAAATCAGATAAAAACTATGACCTCTAAATCACAAGCTAAAAACGTGATTTTTCGTACAATCCGATATGCGCGAATATCGAAAGGAACGGAGATCTTTAGGTTATAACCATTTGAATACGCGGATCTGCGCATACTCCTTCATGTATTAGGTGCGGTCAAGGATGGAACAGAGGATGCGTTGTCATTTCTAATGATACTGATGTAAACAGTTGCCTTACTCGACGTTCTATACCAGACTTTCTAAAGCACAAGGACCTCGAGGAGCTATGTGGGTGAGAGTTGGAGTTGTAAATAGCACTCGATGTGCCCTTCATACCCGGTTCCAGTGCATCGGATGCAAACTCTGTGCTGTTCTTCCGGCTGGCCACAGTCTAACAGGATGTGATATAACCAGCAAAATTTGGATTAAATGGCCATGCCAGAGACGTTTTCAAAGCACTTTGGAAGATTGCCGACACCTCCGGAGCTTTGATTAGGAATGCAGAAGCCTACTTTACCGCAGTGATGAAACCAAAAAGCGATCCGAATATTTTTGGGACTTGCGGGTCGAATTCTTCCATCATGTCAAAGGAAGTTCTCATCGAAACCTACCACCAACCAGCCAAGGTCTCCTGCCACGTATCAAGCGCAGCTTTTGCGGAACAGCTGATACCTGAGACAATGGGAAAAACTCTTGAATCAAACTGGACATACGTGCTAGGTATTAGTATTCTACGCATCCTGGCTAAAAATTTATTTTTTTAAAAAACACGGGAACAGTGCCCGCTAATCTAGTCTAGTTGGAGGCGTGGTATTTTGTAACGTGTCTGTTAGGGGTAACCCACCGCACAAACTGTCTAACAGTGGACATTCATGATTCCTGTGGTGGTACTGAACAACTCCAAAGCTGTTTTAGGTGGTACAGATTTCAGCTAATCTAGCCTAGTTGTGGTCTGGAAATTAGAGAACTCTTGTCAGGGATACTCCACCACTAGAAATGTCTGTCAGAGTGTTTTTGTAATACCTGAAGATGTACGATACACTGCTGTACGATTTGCATGTGGTACACTCTTGAGCTAATCTAGCCTAGTTGGGGGGCATTGCATTTTGGGCGTGGAATACCACATCCACTACCAGAAACCCGACAGACTTATATTCTGATGATACCAGATATACATGCATAGATTCCCTTTGGGAGAAAATTGGTACACTTTTCAGCTAGGTTGACCCCCTGGGCTTCTGGTCTAATAGGAGACCAGGTCAACAATAACACGAGATTACGACAGAATAAAGTGTCGTATGACTGCGTTAATACTGTCGTGATGTTATCTTATTGGGTTATGAAAAGGGGCGAGATTTCACATGACCACTGCCAGCAGCCACTATTATACACCAGGGACTTAGTCAATCTGTTTCACAGAGGATTACGAAAGTATTCTAATATCTCTGAAAATGATGACCGCCTTAAACACGTGACGTCACATCACGCGACGTCAATCATTGGCTCAATGGCGCGTGCATTGTTTACATAAGACGTTACTAAATCGGGCAGAATGCTGCCTTTTACTCATGGCTGAATGGTTAGCGTGCGCGCGCTGTATCATAAAGTCTGTCATTGAGTCGACTGGCGTGGTTTCGAATCCCCGGTTGTACGTGACAAGGAGTAGGGTCGCCTGTCCAACCTCGTGGGTTTTCTCCGGGTCCTCCTCTTTCCTCCCACTTCTAAAGACCCCTACGCGCAAGCGAATTATTGAAATAAAATTGGACTATATGTTAGTCCCGAAATGACCTAGTTTGTGTCGAGTGGACGTTAACCCCCCCCTTCTCTCTGTCTCTCTCCCTTATCATTGAATGTAGCGGCCTCGCGAATATTCACTACTGATCAGTGTGGGATTTAATATTTACTAGGGTTGGTAGGTTTGGGTAAATCTTGCATAACTTGTAATAATGAATGCACGTAACTGGTTTTGTAGTGCAAGATCTCATATTAAGTTTAAATGAAATGAAATGGCGTTTAACGTCCCACCTTTCTGTACCAAACGGGATAATGAAGGCGGGCTTTAAACGGTAGCCTACGTGTCAGGGCCCCATCGCCCCCACTTGAAAAATAAATTTGACATATTTAATTTCGAAATAATTAAAATTTATCCTCGCATCCACTTAAAAATATAATTGCCAAATTCCGGGAAGAAAAATCATTTGTGATTATGTTCCGGGGAAGATTAATCAATCTAGTTTCGTTTTCTCGTCATGTTACGTAATGTTCATGACGATGGGAGCCATTGTTGGACCGAGACCATAGAGCTACCCAGTCTGTCCCTGCATACACAAAGGGAGTAAATTAATAAAATCATCTTTGTCTTGTGTTTATATCCCCGCCATCATTACTTAGTCCAGTCATTACAGAAAAGGAGTGCGTTAAAGTTTAACTTAAACCTATTTTCGTTTTCATTTTTATGTCTTTCATTCTTATATCCCATTTCTAATTTCTAAACACCGTTTAAACCGCCGAGGCGAATGAGAAAACCTATAACATTTACATTGGACAGTATTATATATACAATAATAAGCTTTATTATTACATATAAATAAATAAACAGGTTCACTCACTCGACTCCGTTCTATGTGTCGTGCGTCCATTTTGAATAATTTGCGATGGAGTGAGTCACGTGACTGCATACCAGAATATATCATACCATGAATCGTATATAATACAGTTCGATGATCGTCACATCCCAATGACGTCTATACTAATCCGTCATTGTCACACCCTGTGCAGATATTTTGTTACACTAATTTATCGCACATACATGTATGATAATGTCAAACGTTATATAGAAACACAACAATCAACAACATACGATTACACAATCTCCCAAACTGAGTGTCTTCCCTAGCGAGACTTATGTGGAGAATGATGATTCGTGCCGTCTTGTTACATAGGAAGCATAATTTTTAATTTTTAATTCGTCATATCTTTGTAAATACAGAACCATTTTTGGACAGATGTTCCAATCAGTGATCCAAATTCCACAATAAAATTATATTGTTAGGGAATCTATAGCGCCAAAGTCTTTACTATATTTCTTCTATGAGAAAACCGGAGGCGTACATAAAGTTTTTGTTTGGTGTGTGTGTGTGGGGGGGGGGGGGGTAGCTGATGCACATGCCCCTAATACGAGTGACGCAGTCAGGGGGCGGCACCACAGGTGAAAGTTTCTATGGGTCAGTAGCTGATCTAGAAGCTGGGAAAAGGGGTGGGGCGGTTCCAAATCTAGGGACCTACCCACTATAACACCCCACAAAAAAAAACTATATTAGTAACTGAGTTTTTAATGTTTTGGGACCGGGCCTGAAGGGACTTTGTCTAACGGGGGCGATTACTAGGTCTCTGGAATGTAATTTACTGGACTTCCGGATCTGGGGAAAGCCTTTACAGAATTCTGATGATTAGAAAATACGCTACATGAGTAAAATACGTTTTCATTTCTACTGGGATTAAATATGCATAATTTTATAATTTAAAGATTTTTTGTGTATTTCTGAAACAAACTATGCTTCCGATAACTTCTTACCAACTGTCCGACTAATGTTATCCGTATGACAATCAATAATATAATTTAAATTATCAAAATCTTCGGAACAAGCTCCCTCAATTTCTTAGATTAACAACCTCATTACAGCAATTTTTTTTTCAAACATAAGTTGACTAGGTTATTTTATACTATACCGTTGCAATTTAGGTGCACGGATTCACACAAAAATTTTCCCTTCTGTTTTGGCACTGTTTGTTTACCGCATTAATTCATTTAGTCTGAGACCGACTGCAGTGAGCACTTATTTTGAGACCGACAATTTTTTTCCCTCGGGACTAGTTTATTTTATACTACACCGGTGCAATGTAGGTGCACGGAATCACGCAAAAATTTTCCCTTCTATTTGGCACGGTTTATTTACCGCATTAATTCATTTAGTGTGAGACCGACTGCAGTGAGCACTTATTTTGAGACCGAATATTTTTTCCCTGGGGGTGGGGTGGGGCAAATTTCATAGACGAACATATTCACAACAGAATAAGTGTAAAAAACATTTTTTTCAATCATGATAAGTTGACATGGTTATTTTATACATACATGTATTTGGGATTTTTCCTTCTATTTTGGCATGGTTGGTTTACCTCATTAATTCAGTGAGCACTTATTTTGTGATCGACTGCACTTATTTCACGACCGATTATTTTTTTCGCTTAAGCGGTGGACACACTAGCCGAATGATTCGGCCGTATCAATCGGCGCCGAATTTTATTCGGCCGAATGGGTGGACACACTAGCCGAATGCTTCGCCCGATTCAACCTGTCGATTGCATCACCAGTGACCGAATGCATATTCGGAATGTTTATTCCTTAATTACCTATGTACAGCCGGCGTGTGTATTCTTTAACGCCTGAAGGATTCCTTAATCCCCCTAATTAAATAAAACAATTCACTACGGAATAGTTTCTTTTGTAATTCATTTTAATTTAAGATCCAATTTAGAGTGCCTACAACTTTTAAACTTTGAAGTCCTGAACTCTTAATTAATTTTTTACAATATGGAACTTATTGGACGAACACTTTTAATATGTAAATAATATACGGGTCCAGCTATGTGGTTTTTACTGCGAGCACTTCGCTTTTCCACATAAAGTGTAGTGTCGTTCATATCTGTCATTAATTAATCAATCCGACTATCAAAGTTATACAGACATGGGTCATAAATTAATTTCAAGTTGGTGTTAGCAGTGAGTGTTAGTGGGATTAAGAATGTTGATTAGGTAATTATCTTTTTTTACGCCGGCGAAGTTCAAAGACATCACTCTTAAGTGAAACGTGTGCGTAATACCTCACGAACCAACTAATGGTAGAATCATACACACACACATTTATTGTATAAAATAATTAAGTTTTACTAATAAGTTGTTTAAAATTACTATTTAATTGATGGATGGATTAACGTTTTTGATACGTATAGGTTATAATGTCTAACATCGGTTATCTTCTTTATAATAAAAGTATATATTTTACAATTGCATTGACAGTTTAATCACTCACCAAACGTCACCAGGAACTCCACGAATGATCCCGTGCAGTTTTCGCGACGAAGTTTAACCTCATTTACTACACCCGTAGTACATGGAACGGTACTAATAATAAGATACCAAGCGTTGATTGGCAGAGAAATGAGTGCGATCTATTGTACATGTTATGCATAGTCATCGGAAAATTCCATATTCACTGTAGTTGTTCTTTATGCATAGAAATGGTTATTATTATTATATATAGCTAATAATGAATATATCGACAAATGACTGGCACCATTTGTATTTCTGTACTTAAGTTTGTGATATCAAGTATTACGGGGTTATCCAAATTACCGGTAAATGCGCTAATTTCTTGAGTCATCTTTATTTGACACGTGGCCTATTTAAACAAAGGCAGCTTAAATTGATCTACAGCATGATACGGCATTTTAAATTCACTCTAAAATATTCCAATCACAAATGCCAGCAGCCACTATTATACACCAGGGACTTAGTCAATCTGTTTCACAGAGGATTACGAAAGTATTCTAATATCTCTGAAAATAATGACCGCCTTAAACACGTGACGTCACATCACGCGACGTCAATCATTGGCTCAATGGCGCGTGCATTGTTTACATAAGACGTTACTAAATCGGCAGAATGCTGCCTTTTACTCATGGCTGAATGGTTAGCGTGCGCGCGCTGTATCATAAAGTCTGTCATTGAGTCGACTGGCGTGGTTTCGAATCCCCGGTTGTACGTGACAAGGAGTAGGGTCGCCTGTCCAACCTCGTGGGTTTTCTCCGGGTCCTCCTCTTTCCTCCCACTTCTAAAGACCCCTACGCGCAAGCGAATTATTGAAATAAAATTGGACTATATGTTAGTCCCGAAATGACCTAGTTTGTGTCGAGTGGACGTTACCCCCCCCCCTTCTCTCTCTCTCTCTCCCTTATCATTGATTGTAGCGGCCTCGCGAATATTCACTACTGATCAGTGTGGGATTTAATATTTACTAGGGTTGGTAGGTTTGGGTAAATCTTGCATAACTTGTAATAATGAATGCACGTAACTGGTTTTGTAGTGCAAGATCTCATATTAAGTTTAAATGAAATGAAATGGCGTTTAACGTCCCACCTTTCTGTACCAAACGGGATAATGAAGGCGGGCTTTAAACGGTAGCCTACGTGTCAGGGCCCCATCGCCCCCACTTGAAAAATAAATTTGACATATTTAATTTCGAAATAATTAAAATTCATCCTCGCATCCACTTAAAAATATAATTGCCAAATTCCGGGAAGAAAAATCATTTGTGATTGGGTTCCGGGGAAGATTAATCAATCTAGTTTCGTTTTCTCGTCATGTTACGTAATGTTCATGACGATGGGAGCCATTGTTGGACCGAGACCATAGAGCTACCCAGTCTGTCCCTGCATACACAAAGGGAGTAAATTAATAAAATCATCTTTGTCTTGTGTTTATATCCCCGCCATCATTACTTAGTCCATTCATTACAGAAAAGGAGTGCGTTAAAGTTTAACTTAAACCTATTTTCGTTTTCATTTTTATGTCTTTCATTCTTATATCCCATTTCTAATTTCTGTCAAATCGAAATAAACACCGTTTAAACCGCCGAGGCGAATGAGAAAACCTATAACATTTACATTGGACAGTACTATATATACAATAATAAGCATTATTATTACATATAAATAAATAAATAAACAGGTTCACTCACTCGACTCCGTTCTATGTGTCGTGCGTCCATTTTGAATAATTTGCGATGGAGTGAGTCACGTGACTGCATACCAGAATATATCATACCATGAATCGTATATAATACAGTTCGATGATCGTCACATCCCAATGACGTCTATACTAATCCGTCATTGTCACACCCTGTGCAGATATTTTGTTACACTAATTTATCGCACATACATGTATGATAATGTCAAACGTTATATAGAAACACAACAATCAACAACATACGATTACACAATCTCCCAAACTGAGTGTCTTCCCTAGCGAGACTTATGTGGAGAATGATGATTCGTGCCGTCTTGTTACATAGGAAGCATAATTTTTAATTCGTCATATCTTTGTAAATACAGAACCATTTTTGGACAGATGTTCCCATCAGTGATCCAAATTCCACAATAAAATTATATTGTTAGGGAATCTATAGCGCCAAAGTCTTTACTATATTTCTTCTATGAGAAAACCGGAGGCGTACATAAAGTTTTTGTTTGGTGTGTGTGTGTGTGGGGGGGGGGGGGGGGGTAGCTGATGCACATGCCCCTAATACGAGTGACGCAGTCAGGGGGCGGCACCACAGGTGAAAGTTTCTATGGGTCAGTAGCTGATCTAGAAGCTGGGAATAGGGGGTGGGGGTGGGGCGGTTCCAAATCTAGGGACCTACCCACTATAACACCCCACAAAAAAAAACTATATTAGTAACTGAGTTTTTAATGTTTTGGGACCGGGCCTGAAGGGACTTTGTCTAACGGGGGCGATTACTAGGTCTCTGGAATGTAATTTACTGGACTTCCGGATCTGGGGAAAGCCTTTACAGAATTCTGATGATTAGAAAATACGCTACATGAGTAAAATACG